CTTCCTTTCTTTTTTTGTCAGTCATGGGGCTTGAACTCTGGGCTTGGGCACTGTCCCTGTGCTCTTTAGCTCAAGACAAATGCTCTACCGCTTAAGCCACAGTGCCACTTCTGGTTTTCTTGTGGTTTATTGGAGATAAGAGTCTCACAGACTTTCCTGCCTGGGCTGGCTTTGAACTGTGATCCTCAGATCTCAGGCTCCTGAGTAGCTAGGATACAGGTGTGAGCCACTGGTGCCCTGCTTAACTTCCTTTCTTTTGTTGCTAGGATTAAACAGCCTTGTTATGTGCTAGACAGGTACTCTTTATAACTGAGCTATATATAGCAAGTCTTATTTCCCCATTCCTAGCCTGATCATATGCTTCTCAGTAAAGAGCATTTATAATGATCCTTTCACATAAATCTGCTACAGGAAACCATGTGATCTGAGATGGTGAAAGCCTGCTCAGTTTAGGAAGGCCATTGCCCTTCCTTTCCCTTTCTAGATTTGTGGGCTAATTAATAGGTGATTAGTAGATTGATATTTCTGGAGGACATTCAATCTGGCTATTGTTCACTCTATCCTACAGGTAGTCTTGCGCCCCCAGAGTTCCTGCCAATCTGGACGACAGCTAGCCCTCCGCCTCTTCAGCAAAGTCCGTCCCCCTGTTGGGGGTATCTCTGTTAAGGAACACTTTGAGGTTAGTAAACAGTCCCTTGAAATCCCAGGATCAAAGGGTATTCCAGAGCTAGCAGTATGTGCCATGTTACTTAGGGGAAGGAAACTGAGTGATCGTGTCTGAACTTCAGTACTTCTTCAACCCTTTCAACCTTTAGGTAAATGTGGTGCCTCTCACCATCCAGCTGACACACCAGTTTTTCCATAGAATGATGGGTTTTTTCTTTCCTGGCCGAAGTGTGGAAGATGATGAAGTTGGTGATGAAGAGGATAAATCCAAACTAGTGACAACTGGTGAGACGATTTATGGTAGAGTGCCAGAAAAATAAGGTGGCAGCCCAAGACAACTGAGGCTTCAGATAGAGGATAACAGTTGGTATGTTTGCTTTTTCATAGGAATACCGGTGGTGAAGCCTCGGCAGCTGATAGCAACAGATGATGCAGTACCACTGGGCCCTGGGAAGGGTGTGGCACAGGGCTTAACTCGAAGTTCTGGGGTCAGAAGGTCATTTCGGAAATCACCTGAGGTATCACACAGGACTCTGATGATTAAAAAAAAGAGAGAGAGAAAATCCAGTGTGGTGGCATGACTTGACTAATCCCAGGCATGAGAGGCTGAAGTAAGATCATGAGTTTGAGGTCACCTTCTGCTGCATAGTAAGACCTTGTCTCAGAGAGTGGGGCAGAAGGGTTAGAGAAGGGTCAATCAGTAGACCACCTGCCTAGCAATCCCAGGACCCTGGGTTTTAAACCCCCATCCCACAAAAAAAAGAAAACAACAATAACAACAAAAAAAAGGGGCTGGGTGCTGGTGGCTCACGCCTATAACCCTAGCTACTCGGGAGGCTGAGATCTGAGGGTTGCAGTTCAGAGCCAGCCCAGGCAAGAAAGTCTGTGAGACTCTTATCTCCATTTAACCACCACAAAACTAGAAGTGGTACTGTGGCTCTAGTGGTACAGTGCTAGTTTTGAGCTGAAGAGCTGAGGGACCGGCTCCAGCCCAGAGTTAAGCCCCACAACCAACAACAACAAAAAAAACTAGTAAAATAAAATATACACATAAACACTTCAGTGGGTTTTGTTGCTGGTTTTTGTTTGTTTTGTTTTGTTTTTTTACCAGTACAGAAGCTTGCACTTACTTAGCTTGTTTACTTGGCTATTACTTTATCACTTGAGCCATGTCTTTTTTGTGTGTGTGTGTGGGGGGGGTCCGGTCGTGGAGCCTGAACTCTGGGCCTGGACACTGTCCCTCAGCCCTTCAGCTCAAGGCTAGCAATCTACCACTTGAGCCACAGCGCCACTTCCGGCTTTTTTCTTTTTGTTTATGTGGTGCTGAGGAATCGAACCTAGGGCCTCATGCATGCAAGGCAAGCGCTCTACCACTGAGCCACCTTCCCAGCCCTGAGCTGAGCCATGTCTTTAGCACAACTTTTTGCTGGTTGTATGGGGAGGTGGAATCTCCTAGCCTTTTCTGTTTAGCTGGCTATAAACCACAGTCTTCAGGATCTCAGCCTCTAAAAAGCTAGGATTATAGGCATGAGCCTTTGGTGAATGCTTCACTTTTTTCTGTCAGTTATGGGGTTTGAACTCATGCCTGGATGCTGTCCTTGAGTTCTTTTGCTCAAGGCTAGTGCTATACCACTTTAAACCATAGCTCCACTTCTTTTTTTGGTGATTAGTTGGAGATAAGAGTCTCACAGACTTTCTCCTGCCCATGCTGACTTTGAACTGTGATCCTCAGATCTCAGCTTCCTGAGTGATTAAGATTACAGGCAGGAGCCACTGGTGCCTGACTACCTTTTTATTTTTTAAAGGGAGAATTGTGAGTTTCAGTTGAGTCTTTTTCCTTTGAGTCTTCTCCAGGGGTGAGAGGTCGATATTTAGGGTCCTGTGTTTTTTCTGATAGTGTAAAGGCTTCATATCTTTTCATGCCTTTTTAGCACCCTGTGGATGATATTGACAAGATGAAAGAGCGAGCTGCTATGAATAACTCCTTCATTTACATAAAGATTCCACAGGTCCCACTGTGTGTCAGCTATAAGGTATGTATTTCCCCAGTACTTCTTAGAACAGGGTGGGAAAGGAAGCAGGTAAGATCATCAGAGATTACAGGCGGAGAGATCCAGTTTCTCATTGTAAAGCTGGGTCATGAATTACCAATCTGCTGCCGTTCCTTCTGTAGGAGTCAGTATCATTACCAGACTAAGAGGCTATCAAAACCAGTATGTTAAGTTCCTATTCAGGATTTATTCATTTATTTTTATTTTTATTTTTGTCGGTCGTGGGGCTTGAACTCTGGGCCTGGGCGCTGTCCCTCAGCTCTTCAGCTCAAAGTGAGCGCTCTACCACTTGAGCTATAGTGCCACTTCCGGTTTTCTGGTGGTTTATTGGAGATAGGAGTCTCACGGTCTCTCCTGCCTGGGCTGGCTTTGAACTGCAATCCTCAGATCTCAGCCTCCTGAGTAGCTAGGATTACAGGCGTGAGCCACCAGCGCCCAGCCCTATTCAGGATTTAAACTCAAGTACAGGCTTAGACTCAAAATAGCAACTGATATATTTTGTTTTCTCTCTTTTTCCCTCTCTTCCTCACAGGGTGAGAAGAACAGTGTGGATTGGGGTGACCTTAACCTGGTGCTGCCCTGTCTGGAATACCATAACAACACATGGACATGGCTAGACTTTGCCATGGCTGTCAAAAGGGATAGCAGAAAAGCTCTGGTTGCCCAGGTATTCCCTTAGGCCTCATAGCTGTCTGATTAGGAGCTAGCAAGCAAGATCTACTCTGGAATTTTTTTTATTTTACTTATTTATTTTTTTTGGTGGATCGTGGGGCTTGAACTCTGGGCCTGGGTGCTGTCCCTGAACTCTTCAGCTCAAGGCGAGAGCTCTACCACTTGAGCCACAGCCCAACTTCTGGTTTTCTGGTTGTTACCTGAAGATAAGAGTGTCACATACTTTCCTGCCTGGGCTGGCTTTCAACCTCAATCCTCAGATCTCAGCCTACTGAGTAGCTAGGATTACAGGTGCAAGCCACCTATGCCCAGCTTACTCTGGAATTTGTTCTAGGGTATTGACTGCTTTGGAAAGGGACAAGTGAATGTTGCTAACTACCATTAATTTTAGGGAATACAATCTGCTACAACTTCCTATTTAGCATGGGTTCTAATTAGACTATAAGCTTCATGGAAGCAGAACACATTTTGTAATTTAAATTTGCCTCATGTACCTTGAGTTTAATAAATTCTTGTTGCAGTCATTTACTTTGAATTACTATGCTTGTCACTGTAATATTTACCTCTTGATCCTTTCCAATTTGACAGGTAATCAAAGAAAAGCTAAGGCTGAAGCCTGCAACAGGGTCTGATGTACGGGGAAGGCTAGAAGCTAAATCAGACCTGAACATGCAACAACAAGAAGAAGAGGAGAAAGCTCGCCTCCTCATTGGTTTAAGTGTGGGTGACAAGAACCATGGCAAGAAGTCCATCTTTGGCAGGCGCAAGTGATCTGGCAATCCAAGTGACTGCAGTACAGGATCCGGGATCTGGCTCCAGGGACTTTTGGGGTGGAAAAGGCTTCCCTTTATCCACCAGGACTTGTGGGAGGTTGGAACCCATGGGGTACTGTAAAGACAGGCACTGTTCTTTAGCAGGTGGCCTGTTACCTGAAGGGCATGGTGGATCGTAATACTGAGTTCCATCTGATGTGGGTCACACCCAGGGCCAGAGAGGCAACACAGCAGCCAGACCAGGGATTGGGCCCAGGGGCTAGGCTCCTGCTCAGGACAACTGAAGGAGGGGGGGGGAATAATTCTGATTAAGTGCGATAAATTTTTATAAAAGACATATATATATAAATAAATATATATATATATATATATATTTCTAAGTGTAAGGAAGCTGAGGGGAGGGAACCTGATCTCTGTCTCACTCCACTGCCTTGTATGATAGTGGTATTTTAGTGTTCAGAGGGAATACCCAATCTATATGCTCACTTGGGTGGATAGTAGGAGCCAGGGCTGGCCATGGGTGCCCTACTCTTCCCCCTGGGGTATGCCCTTGGAGAATGGCAAAAACATAAACAAAAAACAAAAAATACCCAAAAGATAAGATTTAAAGAGGAAAAAAAATATTTTAAATTTTATGCTGGTTTGGTTTTCTTTCTTTTTTTAAATTATGTTGCGTACGTGTGTTCAGCCTGTTTTTCACTCCCCTGCAGCTGTCACTGTGATGAGGGTGGCCTCTTCCCTACTCTTCCTTGATACTAGCCCAGAGCCAATGAGTGTGCATGTCCAAAGAGGCGGGCTCATGTGTAATGCAGCATGCGGGGAGGAATTATGTAACTGGGACAGCAGATTTAACAGAAGGAGAGGAGGCAGAGACTGGGGATGGGAGCAGTGAGCTGTCGACAGGGGCAACAGACCCGGGTGGCTGTTCCTCGCAAGGTAGGCTGTGGGGCTTTGGCAGCCTGTAAGAGAAAAGTGAAGCAAGTATGGGCCTCAGGCCCAGGAAGTACCTGAGGGGCATGTTACTGATACCCAGCCTGGGGGTGGGACTGAGAGGCCACAATGTGAAAGCATTGTAGCCTTGAGCTGAGGCATAAGCTTAGGTTCTATCTTTGATCCTGAAGAAAATGCCTAATAATTACTTTCCTAGGGACTTTGAATTATATCTAGGAAATCCAGTTCTACTACAAAGCCAGGAGTGTGGGAATTTTGCCTGGTTTTCAGCATATACCTCTAGGGGGTAAGACTTGAGGGGAAGGAATGCCTATTAATGTGAGCAGAATTTGGTAGGTTTAGAATGGCTCCTTTGCTTTTCAGCAGAGTGGCAACATCCAGGCTCTCTGGCCCCGAGGCTGGAAGAGCCTCTGGTCTGGTCTGGGAATCATCAGGTCAGATCTGGAAGAATTATGGGAACCACTAAGGCACCAATGCCTGTATGTGGAACCCCTACATCCAGCCCCATTACTAGTAGAGAAGCCCCTCTCTGAATGGCCAGTGCCTCAGTTCATCAACCTCTTTCTGCCGGAATTTCCCATGAGGCCCGTTAGGGGGCACCAGCAGCTGAAGGTAGGTCATTGGAATCCCTGAGGGGTCCCACTGAGAAAAATAAAACCAGGCTCAAATGCTCTGTTCTCTGTTTCTCTGTACAGATTTTAGGTCTTGTGGCTAAAGGCTCTTTTGGAATTGTCCTGAAAGTGCTAGATTCTGCCCAGAAAGCTGTATTTGCAGTGAAGGTAGGGGCTTATCTATTTTTCCACATTCTAGTTCCTACTTCTACAGAGATAAGGAGAAATAAATTCAACACCATTATTCTCCTATGAGTGTTCACTCCTCTCCTTTTATAGGTGGTACCCAAGATAAAAGTCCTACAGAGGAATACACTGAGGCAGTGCAAAGAGGAGGTTAGCATCCAGGTATGCCTAGAATACTAGGAAACATGGTGGGAAGAAGTTACAGGAGGGAAAGGCACCTTTCTTCAGCTTTCTTCCTTTTCCTGATTCTACCTGCTTCAGTCTTAGTTTAACACCAAAGTAAATCCTGAGAAATTAGCTATTAGCTAATTCGAATAGTCTTCTCAGAGAAATCCATGTTTCTTATGTTCCTTAGTATTATGGTTACAGGATTACCAGACAATCAGTCTCAGTTATTGATTCTCCCTGAACTGAGGTGAAGCAGCAAGTTAGTTTCTTCACAACTAGGTCATATCTCATGTCTTGGCTACCTTTATGCTCAATAACCCTATTCTTTCCTAACTGCTTGTTTTCTTTGTCCCTAGCGCCAGATCAACCATCCTTTTGTTCACAGCTTGGGGGACAGCTGGCAGGGAAAGCGGCATCTCTTCCTTAGTGAGTGACTGGTCTCTCCTTATCCCCAGACTCCCATCTGCAGTCTCCCCACCTGAGGTTACTTATCTCTTTGGAGCTGTTCCCTTTCTCCTAGCACCTCTTTACCCCAAAGGGAGAGGGAATAGTAAGTGGGTATCAGTTTGGGGAGGAGGCCTATGATGCCTTTGAAGCCCAGGCATTGTAGCACCCAAACATTACCTAGACTTCTGGTCCTTTGCAGTGTGTAGGTACTGCAGCACAGATCTGTACTCCCTGTGGTCTGCTGTTGGCTGCTTGCCTGAGGCCTCTGTCCGTCTCTTTGCAGCTGAGCTGATCCTAGTGCTGTGTAAGTGAAACAGTGATAGAGGGGAGAAATTAAGTTGTGGGGAGGAGAGAAGGGAATTGATATTCACCCTGGAAGTCACAGAATATGATTAGTAATGGGGTCGGGGGTTTCCAAGAAAAGTAGTGGACAAGAGAGTTTTCAGTATACCTTTTGCTTGCTGTTATTCACAGGCTATCTCCATGACTTGGGCATTGTCCATCGAGATGTGAAGGTAGGGCTAAGTGTTTTTTCCTTAGTTTGAGGAGGGGCCTCAGTAAGTTCTAACAAGTCCAAGGAGGTAGGTAGGGAGTTGAGAACTGTTGGTCTTGGGGATCACCTGTGGAGGCTAATGATTTGGGTCAGAGCCCTCCAAGTATTTAATAAATGCTGAGTAAGGTACCTTGTCCATTTGGTGGGTATACATGGATGAAAGAATTGAGAAGGGCTGGGAATGTAGCTTAGTGGTAGAGTGCTTGCCTGGTGTACATGAAGATCTAGGTTCGATTCCTCAGTACCACATACACAGAAAAGGCCAGAAGAGGCACTGTGGCTCAAGTGGTAAAGTGCGAGCCTTGAGCAAACAAAGCCCAGGCCCTGAGTTCAAGTCCCAGGGCTGACAAAAAAAGAAGAATTTCTTACTGGTGATCTTTCAGATGGAGAATATTCTTCTGGATGAACGAGGTAAGGTTACTTCCATTAGGAAATAAAAAATCATAATTAAGACATGGAATAAAGAGGTACTGTCACCTTTATCTTCTTTTATAGGCCATCTGAAACTGACAGACTTTGGTCTGTCTCGCCACCTATCCCAGGGAGCCCGAGCCTATACTATCTGTGGCACTCTTCAATACATGGGTGAGAGTGGCTAAAAGCTGGTGGATAAACATTGGAGTGGAGGATATAGTCAAAGGATGTCAATGACAAGTATCTTTCAAATCCCTAGCCCCAGAGGTGCTGAGTGGTGGGCCTTACAACCATGCTGCTGATTGGTGGTCCCTGGGTATCTTACTTTTCTCTCTGGCAACTGGAAAGGTGAGAGAATGGTAGTGCTATTCATCAGAGAAGAAAGAAGACCTTAGAGAGTCTTTATCATCTATATCTTTAACTCAGTTCCCAGTGGCAGCAGAGAGAGATCATGTGGCCATGTTGGCAAGTGTGACCCACTCTGACTCTGAGATTCCAGCTTCTCTTAACCAGGAGCTCTCACTCCTGCTTCATGAGGTAAGGGTGAACACTGCTTTTCATCTTGACTACCAAACCATGTATTCATTCTCTCTCTCTCCCTCTCCCTCTCTCTGCCCCATATATTCTCTCTCTCCCCCCCACCATATATTCTCTCTCTCTTTCCCTCCTCTCCTTATCATTGAAGTAGTATTTCCTTATCCCTCTGACTGATATTTTTGTTTGAGGGGAGGGAGTATGATTCAACTTGAGCATTTATTTGCCTTCTCAGCAGCACTTTTGACTTAATTTCTGAATTTCTGGTACCCCACATGTCTTCCTCATCTAAAAAGATAGATCTGCTTCCAAAAGAGTGTACCAGTGCTACAGGTTATTTTTCTTTCTTTTTTTTTTTTTTTTTGTGGATCCGGTCTTGGGGCCTGAACTCTGGGCCTGGGCACTATCCCTCAGCTCTTCAGCTCAAGGCTAGCACTCTACCACTAGAGCCACAGCACCACTTCCGGCTTTTTTCTTTTTGCTCATGTGGTGCTGAGGAATTGAACCCAGGGCCTCAGGCATGCAAGGTAAGCGCTCTACCACTGAGCCACCTTCCCAGCCCCTCTTTTTTTTTTTTTTTTTTTTTGCCAGTTCTGGGGCTTGAACTCAAAGCCTGGGTGCTGTCCCTGAGCTTCTTTTGTTCAGGCTAGCACTCTATCACTTAAGCCACAGCATCAATTCTGGCTTTTCTGTTTATGTGGTACTAAGGAATCGAACCCTGGGCTTCATGCATGCAAGGCAACACTCTATCACTAAGCCACGTTCCCAGCCCGTTTTTTTTGTGGGGGGGTGGAGGGGTGCCAGTCCTAGGGCTTGAACTCGGGGCCTGGGCACTGTCCCTGGGCTTGTCTTGCTCAAGGCTAGCACTCTACCACTTGAGCCACAGCACTACTTCTAGCTTTTTCTGTTTATGTGGTACTTGGGAACTGAACCCAGGGCTTTATGCATGCTAGGCAAGTACTCTACCACTAAATCACATTCCCAGCCCCAGTACTGCAGTTTTACAGTATGAAAATATACAAACAGATCCTTTGTGCCCAACTTGTACCCCAAATCAGCTTCAATTTCTCCTTTTACAATTTTTTTTTTTCAGTCGTGGGGCTTGAACTCTGGGCTTGGGCGCTGTTCCTGTGCTCTTCAGCTCAAGGCGAGCGCTCTACTGCTTGAGCCACAGCTCCACTTCCGGTTTCCTGGTGGTTTATTGGAGATAAGAGTTTCACTGACTTTCTTGCCCAGGCTGGCTTTGAACCATGATCCTCAGATATTAGCCTCCTCAGTAGCTAGGATTACAGGTGTGAGCCACTGGCACCTACCTTACATATCTTTTTTTTTTTTTTTTTCGGTCGTGGGGCCTGAACTCTGTGCCTGGGCGCTGTCCCTCAGCTCTTCAGCTCAAGGCTAGCACTCTACCACTTGAGCCACAGTGCCACTTCCGGCTTTTTTCTTTTTGCTTATGTGGTACTGAGGAATCGAACCCAGGGCCTCGAGCATGCAAGGCAAGCGCTCTACCACTGAGCCACCTTCCCAGCCGCTTACATATCTTTTTTAGGATTTTTTTTTTCCCTGACCTTCACAGGCCCATGAACTTCTCTGTCCTTGTCATATTCTTTGTTTAAACTTATTCCTTATACTGGTCTTTCATCCTTCATAACTCTATTTCCCTTCAGCTCTTATGCCAGAACCCCCTCCACCGTCTGCGCCATCTACATCACTTCCAAGTCCACCCCTTTTTTAGGGGTGTGTCATTTGACCCAGAGCTCCTACAGAAGCAGCCAGTGAACTTTGTCATGGAGTCACAAATTACTCAGCCCAGTGCATTGGAGTCGATGCCCTTCCAGGACTTTGACTGTGATCTGGAATCCTTCATGGTCCACTCCATTTCCTCTCTACTGTAGATTGAGGCCTAGGTGGAAAACTGAGGATCTCCACTGCCAACTCAGTACAGTCATCTTGATAATCCAGTTTTCACTTTGTAGCCTAGTACTCTTTGTTATCTTAGGTGTTAGATTAGATCAGCGTGGTGACTTTGCTTCATTTTTCCAGTGCTCTTACCCTTACCCTGACATCCCAGGGCTGCTTCTGCCTTTTCCTCTCCTTGGTTCTCTGCCAGGTTTCTTTTCTTTTTTTAATTTCTTTTTTTCTTTTATTTTCTTTCTTTTTTTTTTGTGCTAGTACTAGGGCATGAACTCAGGACCTGAGCACTGACCCTAGCTTTTTCATTCAAGGCTTGTGCTCTTAAGCCACAGCTCCATTTCTGGCTCTTTGGTAATTAATTGGAAATAAGAACTTATGAGGGCTGGGAAGGTGGCTCAGTGATAGAGCACTTGCCTTGCATGCCTGAGGCTTTGGATTCGATTCCTCAGCACCACATAATCAGAAGAAAAAAAAAGCCGGAAGTGGCGCTGTGGCTCAAGTGGTAGAGCGCTAGCCTTGAGCTGAAGAACTAAGGGACAGAGCCCAGGCCCAGAGTTCAAACCCCACGACTGAACCAAAAAAAAAAAAAAGAATCTTATGAGTTTTTCTGCCTGGGCTGTCTTTGAACCATGACCCTCAGATCTCAGCCTCCTGAATAGTTAGGGGTATAGGTGTGAGCCTGTGCACCTAGCTTGCCATATTTCTTTTCTTGGGTAGTAATGACACTTCATGGGCTATTAAGGTACTACTTGTTTCATAGAGCAGTCAGAAAAAATGAGAATGTCTTCAGAGATCTCAAAAACTTGGGAGTTATGAATATGTAGCTAAAAAACATCTAGGGGTTTGAGGTCAATCTTAAATAAATTTAATTTTTTTGGAGGTGTCATGGGTCTTGAACTCTGAGCCTGAGTGCTGTCCCTCAGCTCTTCAGCACAAGGTGAGCGGTGCTCTACTACTTGGGCCACAGTGCCACTTCCATTTTTCTAGTGGAGAGAAGAGTCTCATAGTCATTCCTGACCGGGCTGGTTTTGAACCGTAATTCTCAGATCTTAGTCTCCTGAGTAAGTAGGATTCCTGACCGGGCTGGTTTTGAACCGTAATCCTCAGATCTTAGTCTCCTGAGTAGCTAGGATTACAGGGATGAGCCACTGATGCCTGGCAGTAGTTTTCTAATTTTTAAAACTTAAATTTGTTAGCAGGGTGCTGGTGGCTCACACCTGTAATCCTAGCTACTCAGGAGGCTGAGATCTGAGGATTCCAGTTCAAAGGCAGCCCAGGCAGGAAAGTCAGTGAGACTCTTATCTCCAATTAACCACTAGAAAACTGGAAGGGGGGGGGAGGATGGAAAGGGATGGGAAGGGGAAACAAAGGAGGAGGCTACAATGCTTGATAAGAAATGTACTCATTATCTTGCCCATGTAATTGTAACCCCTCTGTACAGTATTTTCACAATTAAAAAAAACTGGAAGTGGCACTGCGGTTCAAGTGGTAGAGCACTGGCCTTGAGCTGAAGAGCTCAGGGACAGTGCCCAACCCCAGACTTCAAGCACCACAACCAACAACAAAAATTAAAAAACTAATCCAATTATGCTTAACGTAAGGAAGAAAATAGAGACTGAAACATGGGTGGCTTAAATATTTTCTCTAGGGGTAATTGGAATAGCTGCCCAAATATTTTCCAAAACAAAACCTCGAAAGACATGATTGTGGCTCATAATTCTAGCTACTCAGGAGGCTCAGATCTGTAGGATCACAGTTCAAAACCAACTCAAGCAGAAAAGTCTGAGAAACTTTCCCAAATAAGCAGCAAAGAGCAGGGATGGAGGTATGCCTCAACTGGCAAAGCACCAGCTGAGCAAATGTGATGCCCTGAGTTCAAACTCCAAGACTGTCAAAATAAAAAGACATAGGATTAAATTGATCATTTGACAACCCAGGATTCACATTTTCATAGGCAAATAAAGGGATTGAAAAATCACATTAACCTTAAGATTTAATGTTAGAGATAAGAAACTTATTCTTTTGTAAGGAAAAAAATCTGGACATTCATGTACATTTTGGATCTTTTTTTTTTTGGGGGGGGGGGTCGGTCGTGGGGCCTGAACTCTGAGCCTGGGCACTGTCCCTCAGCTCTTCAGCTCAAGGCTAGCGCTCTACCACTTGAGCCACAGCGCCACTTCCAGCTTTTTTTTTTGCTTATGTGGTGCTGAGGCATCGAACCCAGGGCCTCATGCATGCAAGGCAAGCGCTCTACCACTGAGCCACCTTCCCAGCCCTGCCTTATAATTCTTTAGTTATATTGATCTCTTCAGGCCATGTAGAGTCTGGAGAGTCAGACACTGTTGGCCAATACCTATAATTTTAACTACTCAGGTGGCTGAGATCTGAAGATTGTGGTTCAAAGCCAGCCCTGGCAGAAAAGTCTGTAAGACTAAACTCCAATTAACCACCAAAAAAAAAGGTGTGTGACATTTTAGCTCAAGTGTTAAAGCACTAGCTCAAGGACAGAGCCCAGGCCCTGAATTCAAGTTCCTGGACCAGCACACCCTTAAAAAGTTTAGAAAGCATCTTGTGTAATTCTATTAATCTGTCTCTGGATTAAGCCAGGCTTCCTCTGAATATAATTGTCATTTTATTAGCCTCTGCAGATTTATTTTTTCACTTAAAAAAATTTCATGGCTGGGTCCCCGTGGCTCACACCTGTAATCCTAGCTACTCAGGAGGCTGAGATCTGAGGATCATTGTTTGAAGCCAGTCAGGGTCCCTGTGAGACTCATCTCCACAACTCAAAAATGAAGTGGTGCTGTTTGCTCAAGTGGTAGAGTGCTAGTCTTGAGAACAAAAAGGCTCAGGGACAGCACCCAGACCCTTAGTTCAGACCCTACAACTGACAAAAAAAAAAAACAAATTTCATGGATTTCGTTTTGATAGCTCATATGAATCTCCCGAAACTTGATAATATAAAAAATGTTTTATCATTGTAGTTCATAATTTCCTATGTAAGGATGCATAGAAGAAATTTTCTCTGAGCCGGGCGCTGGTGGCTCACGCCTGTAATCCTAGCCACTCAGGAGGCTGAGATCTGAGGATCGCGGTTCAAAGCCAGCCCGGGCAGGAAAGACGGTGAGACTCCTATCTCCAATAAAACCACCAGAAAACCGGAAGTGGCGCTGTAGCTCAAGTGGTAGAGCGCTTGCCTTGAGCTGAAGAGCTGAGGGACAGTGCCCAGGCCCAGAGTTCAAGCCCCATGGCCGACCAAAAAAAAAAAGAAATTTTCTCTGGACCCAGTTGTGATTTTCCTGAATACTAAATATTCAACTGACTATTTTCCTCTTTATACTCATGCTACATCAAGGAGCTCAGTTTGGGGCCCTCCTCTAGGAAGTAATTATGTATTTTGTGACTAGTCACATTCTTGATTATATCGTCCTTTTCTACCTTTATTTTCCTTATCCTCACTTTTGTTTTAATCTTTTTTTTTTTTTTTTGGTATTACCTATGTCTTTGTAAGCCTTCTTTGGAATAAGATTGGGGTACAAATAAAAAAGAATGTATCTTTCATCCTTTAATCTCATTTTGTTTTTCTTTAGACATTTTTATAGCTTTATTGTTTGAAGATGTACTGACCCAAACTACACACACAAGAGTTAATGGTTTTCAAAACAGTAGTTAAGAGCATTAGATTGGGATTTAGGATCTCTGGTGCCTGGATCCACCAATTAACTATCTTATTGTCTCATTTTAATCCTTCTAGATCTTAGTTTCCTGATATATAAAATGAGTCCTTTGTAACCATTGTTTTTGTTTTGTTTTGTTTTGGGCAGTGCTATCATGACCTTGGGTATGCTAGGCAAGCACTATACCACTGAGTAATATCCCCAATCCTAACCACTGGTTTCTTTTTTATTTATTTATTTTTGTGGACACACTGTACAGAGGGTTTACAATTACATGGGCAGGTTAATGCGTACGTACCACTGGTTTCTTAATTGGGGGAATTGGTTTCAGAGTTCAGAGATGCTTTTTCAAAGGGCAACCATGGAGCATTTTAAGATGTAATTTAGGGGGGACGGGGGGAGGCCGGGAAGGGATGTGAAGGGTAAACAAAGGAGGAGGCTGCAATGCTTGATAAGAAATGTACTCATTATCTTGCCCATGTAATTGTAACCCCTCTGTACAGTATGTTCGCAAAAAATTAAAATTAAAAAAAAGATGTAATATATCTGGCCCAGGTCATGTCTAGGCACCCAATACTATATGGATGGTCTTTCTGATCACAGCAGTATAATGAGCTAAGATCTTTAGGAAATGGTTGACCTAATCTCACTTGGAACCATTTTCTACATCATATTAGATAGCTTAGAGACCATAATAGTGTTTAAATTATTTCTTAAAGGTGCTGGGAAGGTGGCTCAGTGGTAGAGTGCTGGCCTTGCATGCATAGAGGCCCTGGGTTCGATTCCTCAGCACCACATAAGCAGAAAAAGAAGTGGCACTGTGGCTCAAGTGGTAGGGCACTAGCCTTAAGCTGAAAAGCTGAGGGACAGCACCGAAGCCCAGAGTTCTGGCCCCATGACTGGCAAAAAAAATTTTTTTTAAGTAGATATATATATTTCTTAAAAGACAGGGACATTTTCAAAACACTTTTCAGTGGTGCACTTCTGCAGTATTTCTCAGAAATGAAAAAAATCAGAAAGCACCAATTTGAAAGAGGATTGTTTCCTTCTAGAATGCCTGTGGGCATGGCTCAATATTAAAGTCCTTGCCTGGGGCTGGGAAGGTGGCTCAGTGGTAGAGTGCTTGTCTTGTATGCCTGAGGCCCTAGGTTCGATTCCTCAGCACCACATAAGCAAAAAAGAAAAAAGCCAGAAGTGGCACTGTGGCTCAAGTGGTAGAGCGCTAGCCTTGAGCTAAAGAGCTGAGTACAGCGCCCAGTCCCAGAGTTCAGGCCCCACAACTGGCAAAAATAAAATAAAGTCCTTGCCTAAGAAGTATAAGGCCTTGAGGTAAATTCCCCGGACTGATTAAAAAAACGAAATACACAATGACTTACTGTGTAATCCTACGTATTCGGGAGGTTGAGATCTGAGGATTACAGTTTAAAGCCAGCCTGGGCTGGAAAGTCCATGAGACTATCTCTACTTAACCATCTAAAAGCACTAGCCTTGAGCTAATAAAGCTCTTGGATCTGGGCGCCAGTGGGAGGCTGAAATCTGAGGATCGCAGTTCAAAGCCAGCCTGGGCAGGAAATCTGTGAGACTTATCTCCAATAAACCACCAGAAAACCAGCAGTGGTGCTATGGCTCAAATGGTAGAGCACTAGCCTTGATCTGAAGAGCTGAGGGGCAGTGCCCAGGCCCAGAGTTCAAGCCCCATGACTGACCTGAAAAAAAGCTCATGGATATTGCCCAGGCCCTGAGTTCAAGCCCTAGGACTGGTACCATAAAAAATAATGATAGCTGGGCACCTGTGATTCACAACTGTAATCCTAGCTACTTAGGAGGCTGAGATCTGAAGATCGTGGTTCAAAGCCAGCCTGGGCAGGAAAGTCCGTGAGACTCTTATCTCCAATAAACCACCAAAAAACTGGAAGTGGCGCTGTGGCTCAAGTGATAGAGTGCTTGCCTTGAGCTGAAGAGCCCAGAGACAGCGCCCAGGCCCAGAGTTCAAGCCCCATGACTCACCAAAAAAAAATAATAATGATAAATAAAATCATATTCACTGAATTGTTGACTTGTTATGAATTGTGTATACCCCAAATTTCGTATAAGTCAAAATGTGACTATTTGGAGATAAGATTTTTAAAAAGGTAAGTTAAAAATGGAGGTCTTAAGGACCAGCCCTAACTCAAGGTTCGGATCAAGATACACACAGAGTGAAGACCATGTGAAAGACACAGGAAGAAGATGGAAGAAAGAAATGAAAGCATTATTAAAAACATATTTAGGGGCTGGGAAGGTGGCTCAGTGGTAGAGCGCTTGCCTTGCATGCCTAAGGCCCTGGGTTCGATTCCTCAGCACCACATCAGCAAAAAGAAAAAAGCAGGAAGTGGCGCTGTGACTCAAGTGGTAGAGCGCTAGCCTTGAGCTGAAGAGCTGAGGGACAGTGCCCAGGCCCAGAGTTCAGGCCCCACGCCGGACCCAAAAAAACAAAACATATTTAGCCAGGTGCCGGTGGCTTATGCCTGTAATCCTAGCTATTAAGGACGCTGAGATCTGAGGATCAGGCTTCAAAGCCCAGGAAGAAAAGTCCATGAGACTCATCTCCAATTAACCACTAGAAGTGGTTAATTCTCCAATTAACCACGGAAGTGGTGCTGTGGCTCAAGTGGTAGGAAGAGCGCTCGCCTTGAGCTGAAGCGTTCAGGGACAGTGCCCAGGCCGAGTTCAAGACCCATAACCAACTAAATAAATAAATAAAAACATATTTATGCTGGGCACTGGTGGTTCATGCCTATAATCCTTAGCTACTCAGAAAACAGATCTGAGGATTGTGGTTCAGAGCCAGCCCAGGCAGGAAACTTGATGAGACTCTAACCACTCAAAAACCAGAAATGGTGCTGTGGCTCAAAGTGGTAGAGTGCTAGCCTTAAGCAAAAGAGCTCAGGGATAGTGCCCAGGCCCTGAGTTCAAGCTCCATGACCACACACTGCCCCCCTCACACACACAAAAAAACAAAAGTTTGGTGAATTAATAACACTAAGTTGAGAAATTCAGATGCCATAAAAGGAAAGATAAACTTTTTGACCAAATTAAAACTAAGCTGGGATGTAGATCATGTGGTAGAACATCTGTCCAGCAAACAAAAGACCGTGAGTTCAAATCCCAGTGCCATCATAAACTATAGCCAAAGGTATCATGAAATGAATGGACACATAAATCCTAAAATTCATGCGCTGGATGACAGCTAATGTCTATAACAAACTTACAAAATAGACTTTTTCAAAATAAGGAATATAGAGACAAATTAGTTAATTAGATCTTTAGCAGTTGACTGGAAAGGTGTTTGCTTTTTTTTTTTTTTGGGGGGTCCGGTCATGGGGCCTGAACTCTGGGCCTGGGCACTGTCCCTCAGCTCTTCACCTCAAGGCTAGCACTCTACCACTTGAGACATAGCGCCACTTCCGGCTTTTTTCTTATGTGGTGCTGAGGAACCGAACCCAGGGCCTCGAGCATGCGAGGCAAGTGCTCTACCACTGAGCCACTTTCCCAGTCCCTGCTTTTTGTTTTTTTACCAGTCCTAGAACTCAGGGCTTGGGCACTCTCCTTGAGCTTCTTTTGCTCAAGGCTTACAATCTACCACTTGAGCCACAGTGCCACTTCTGGCTTTTTCTTTTGTTTTTTCTTTTTTGGGGGGTCCGGTCGTGGGGCCTGAACTCTGGGCCTGGGTGCTGTCCCTCAGCTCTTCAGCTCAAGGCTATCGCTCTACCACTTGAGCCACAGCGCCACTTCCGGCTTTTTTTTTCTTCCTGCTTATGTGGTGCTGAGGAATTGAACCCAGAGCCTCATGCATGCAAGGCAAGCGCTCTACCATTGAGCCACCTACCCGGCCCCACTTCTGGCTTTTTCTGTGTTATGTGGGTACTGAGGAATCGAACCTAGGGCTTCATGCATGCTAGGCAAACAATCTACCACTAAGCCACATTCTCAGTCCTTGGTTTTGTTTTGTTTTTTAGTCCTGGGGCTTGAACTCAGGGCCTGAGCACTGTCCCTGATCTTGTTTTGCTCAAGGCTGACACTCTACCACTTGAGCCACAGTGTCACTTCTGGCTTTTTCTGTTTATGTGGTATTAAGGAATCAAACCCAGGGCTTCATACTAGGCAATCACTCTACCACTAAGTTACCTTCCCAGCCCTGGAAAGGTGGTTTTTAAGACAGTGTTATAGTTTATGAAATGGAGAAGAAAATGTAGATGTTTAAGAAATCACAATTTTGCATTCTGCCAAGTAGCTAACATCAGTAATTGCAGCTATTTCAGAGATGAAGATTGGGTGGTGGTTTGAAGCTGGCCTGTACAAAAATTACAAGATATTCTCAGCTCAACAAATAAACTCAATCTGTGGGCAGCTATGCAAGAGCCACAGATTAGAGAGCTGAGATCCAAAACTGATTGAGGCAAAGAAAAAATAATGAAGCCAGATACTGGTGACTCATGTCTAATCCTAGCTACTCAAGAAGGCTGAGATCCTGAGGATCATGGTTTGAAGCCAGTCTGAACAGAAAAGTCTATAAATCTCCATTTGACCATTTAAAAAGCTGGAAATGGAGATACTGTGTAAGTGGTAAAATAATAATAATAAGCTAACAGAGTGTAAAGATCCTGAGTTCATGCTCCAGTATGGGCACAAAAAAGTAGAGGAAGGAAGGTGCCGGTGTCTCATGCCTATAATCATAGCTACTCAGGAGACTGAGATCTGAAGATCTTAGTTCAAAGCCAGCCTGGGCAGTAAAGTCTCTGTGAGGCACTTATCTCCAATTAACCATTCAAAAACAGAAGTGGTGTTGTGGCTCAAGTGGTAGAGCACTAGCTTTGAGCACAAAGAGGCTCAGAGACAGTGCCCAGCCCCTGAGTTCAAGCTGTATAACTGACCAAAAAAAAAAAAGCGTGGGTGGGGGGATGGGGGGAAGCTTCAATAAACAGAATCCTCCCTACAGGGGATGGAATTTGAGAAACTAGAACTTAGGCAGTAGTTGGTAGTGTGGGTTGGAAGTTTGTCATTTTATGTAGGATGTTGGGCAGATTACATTCTTTGACTCAGTTCATCTTCACTTATAGTAGATAGATACACATGAAGATGAATATATATATATATATATATATATATATATATTTGTAAGTATTTGTGTCTGAACTCAGAGCTTAGCTTGCTAAATTGGGCCTCTAGCCCAACTTTATAGTTTCTTCCAAGGATTAGATGAATTAGTATACATAAAGCCCTTGGAAATAACACTATATACACAACAAAGGTACAGTACATATTAGCTATTATTCCATGGACAAGGGTTTGATGTGTGGACTGATCATGCCTATGTAGCTCCTCTTGTGATGGGTGCCCATGAACAACCTGTAATCCTAGTTCTTCAGGAAGCTGAGATCCGAGGATGGAGGTTTGAAGACAGCCCTGGGAGGAAGGGTCTGTGAGACCCTTATCTCTAATAAACCAGAAAAGAAAAAGAAAAAGCAGGTTGCAGAGCTGTAGCTCTGGTGGCAGAGTGCCACTCCTGAGCGAAAACGCTAACAGGATGGAGGCTAGGCCCTGAATTAAAATCAGCAACGACAACAAAAACACCAACTCCGTGGGAAGCCAGAGGCCAGGCAACTTCTGAGACAACTCTAAAAGGGAGTGAGTGAGGCTGGTCCCCAGGAAGTAGGGGAGGGACAGACTCGACTTTCCAGCTACCGGTGGTGGTGTCGGTGTAGTGAGAACACAAGGCGGGGCACGCCGGGCGGCGTCGGTACGCGGCTCCGTAGTGAGGAGTGAGGCTGAGGATCCGGCGCCAACAGCGGAAAAGCCAGGGGGCGTGGCCAGATGTGGTTCCTCCCATCTCAGGGGCGGAGTCCCAGCGGACTCGCTGAGCGGACGCACCGCGGCTCCGCAGCCAATCCGGGAGTGCGGAACAGGTTCAAATAAAGACGGCGGGTGAGCATGGCGAAGCTGATTTGGTCTGTGAAGTGATCGATTTGCTTTCTGTGTGGAAGATGTGGCGGGTGAAAACACTCAGCCTAGGCCTGTCGCCTTCGCCCCAGCCGGTGAGTGGAAGAGCTCTTGCAAGATAAGCACGAGTTGGGGCTACTAGGACAGGACGCTGGTGGTGCCCCGGGGCCTGGCCAGCTGGGCAGAACCTGCGGCTGGGGGCTGGGGAAGGGTGCAGTCTTTTGTTCACTTTGCAGCTGCGGCGGGATTGGGATGTGAATCTGGCCTTGCTTTATCACCTTACGGATTTCTTGGGAAATGAGGAAGGGCAGGCTGCTGGAGCTCAGGCTTTCTCACTTTCTCTCTCTTCTCACTTTCTCAGGGAAAACCAGCGATGAGAACTCCTCTCCGAGAAATTATCCTGCAGCCCGGTGCACTCACCACCTCAAGAGAAGGACCGCCTATGTGCTCCTCGCTCACCCCATCACTGAGAAAGCTGGGGTTGCAGGTGAGATTCGTCTGGACAGCTTCTCTACTGGGCTGTTTGCCCAGGTTAGAGCTCAGAGGAACAGAAGGCCAGGTTTGGAACATAATTAAGAGTGGTAATGAAGTCTTCTACATCAGTGACATCCATTTACAGCTATTCAGGCCAACAGAGAGCTGCCCTAGGGTGGTTAAAGAAAATCCACTGACAATCGGAACCTCTGTTTAGCTATTAGACCTTTTTTTTAAATCTCTTCCCCTGGTTGGACCTTTTCCAAACTACTGGGAAATATTTACATCCTACTAGTGGTCTTCCTCAAATGTGCGCTCATTTATGAGGAGGTCTATCTACTACAACAGTAAGTCAATATCCATTCACCCCATGAAGTAGTTAAAACTCTCCTGGGATCAATTATACCACTGGAATGCAGGCTGCTTGGCTTACCTTAGTTTAAACTATTTCCTTCTGTAATTTCCCTTACTGAATTCCACTTTTGTCTTAGGTTTTGAGAGAAGGAGCCATGTACAAACTGCTTTTCAATTACTTCAAAAACTTGTCAATCTGGGCTGGGAAGGTGGCTCAGTGGTAGAGTGCTTGCCTTGCATGCCTGAGGCCTTGGGTTCGATTCCTCAGCACCACATAAGAAAAAAGAAAAAAGCTGGAAGTGGGGTTGTGGCTCAAAGTGGTAGAGCGCTAGCTTTGAGCTGAAGAGCTGAGGGACAGCGCCCAGGCCGAGTTCAGGCCCCACGACCGGACCAAAAAAAACCCCCAAAACTTGTCAATCTGACTGTCAGTGGCTAATGCTTGTAATACAGCTAGTCAGGAGATCTGAGAATGGCAGTTCAAAGCCAGTCTAGGCTGGAAAGTCCATAAGCTTCTATTTCCAATTAACCACCAAAAACTGAAAGTGGAGCTGTGGCTCAAGTGGTAGAGCACAAGTTTTGAGCAAAAAGGCTCAAGGGCAGTGCCCAGACCCTGAATCCAAGCTCTAGGATAGTCACCGAAACAAAATAAAAACCCCAAAAGTTAACTTGTCAATGATGACTTGTCTATGATGTTCCTCAGGACATTTTGTAGAAACTAACTACCTGAGAAAATTGCCTTTCTAAAGAAATTGCTATTCTTTTCTCTTTCTAATAAGAAAGTATGGGGTTTGCTCTGTCTTCTAAAAAGCTCATGGGGGCTGGGAATGTGCTTTAGTGGTCAAGTGCTTGCCTAGCATGCATGAAGCCCTGGGTTCAATTCCTCAGCACCACATAAACAGAAAAAGCCAGAAGTGGTGCTGTGGTTCAAGTGGTAGAGCGCTAGCCTCGAGCAAAAAGAAGCTCAGGGACACTGCCCAGGCCCTGAGTTTAAGCCCCAGAACTGGCAAAAAATAAATAAATAAAAAGCTCATGGTCAAATTTGATGATCACTTACAATTATTAGTTCTGAAATATGAAGATTCTCTTTTTTTGTTTGTTTTTGTTGCCAGTACTTAGGGCCTGGGCATTGTCCCTGAGCTTTTTTGCTCAAGGCTGGCACTCTGTCATTACTTGCAGCTTTTTTTTTTTGCCGGTTGTGAGGCCTGAACTCTGGGCCTGGGCACTGTCCCTCAACTCTTCAGCTCAAGGTTAGTGCTCTAGCACTTGAGCCACAGCGCCACTTCCAGCTTTTTCTGCTTATGTGGTGCTGAGGAATCGAACCCAGGGCCTCATGCATGCAAGGTAAGTGCTCTACCACTGAGCCACCTTCCCAGCCCCACTTGCAGCTTTTTGGTTGTAATGGGAGATAAGAGTCTCATGGACTTTCCTGCCAGGATCGGCTTTGAACCTCAATCCTCAGATCTCAGCCTCCTCAGTAGCTAGGAATATATTCATATTTCTTTTTTGACCACTTTTTTTTTTTGTATTGGGAATGGAACCTGGGGCCTCCTGCATGTTGGGCAATTGCTTTGACACTGAGCTATACCCCAGCTATATTTCATTAATTTTAGCTATTAATGTCTGTACTATCTCTAGATTCTCACAGCTCTTGAGAATCACTCACATCCTGTGAACCCCTTCCTACTTGTTCCCTTCAAAGTAAGGTGGAGTTAAGAAGAGCAAAATCAGGCTGGGAAGGTGGCTCAGTGGTAGAGTGCTTGCCTTGCATGCATGAGGCCCTGGGTTCAGTTCCTCAGCACCACATAAGCAGAAAAAGCCGGAAGTGGCACTGTGGCTCAAGTGGTAGAGTGATAGCCTTGAGCTGAAGAGCTGAGGGACAGTGCCCAGGCCCAGAGTTTAGGCCCCACAACTGACAAAAAAAAAAAAAAAAAAAGAAGGGTAAAATCACACTCAAGCACCCCATGTCTTCTCCTCATGACATGAATAAATCTTCTTAGCTGTTTTTACTGTAGAACTGGTTCACTTAAAAGGATCCAAAATGGCTTCCTAGCTTTTCTTTCCCTACTGTTGGTTCTGTGTAATAAGCAATAATTATTAATAAAGTTCTCATCCAAGCAGAGCTAGTGACCTTTTTCCTTGTTCTTCCACCCTATTCCTCACTCCTACCCTTGGTACTGGGGCCTCGCCCTGTTGCTTGGCTTTTTGTTCCTGTCTGGCCCTCTACTACCTGAGATCTATCTTCACTTCTAGTCTTTTGCTTGTTAATTGGAGATAATCTGGCAGATTTGTCTGTGTAGGCTGCCTTTGAGTCAAGATCCTTAGATCTCAGCTCCCAGAATAGCAGTGCCTAGTTTTCTTTCCTGTTTTTAATTTGAGTATCTTGGACCCACAATTGTATGTTGGGAACTGAACTGCTTGTCTTTTTTTTTTTTGCCAGTCCTGGAGCTTGAACTCAAGGCCTGAGCACTGTCCCTGCACTTCTTTGCTCAAGGCTTGCACTCTACCAGTTGAGCCACAGCACCACTTCTGGCTTTGTGGTACTGAGGGATCGAACCCAGGGATTCATACATGCTAGGCAAGCACTCTACCACTAAGCCACATTCCCAGCCCATTAACTGCCTGTCTTAATCAACTACTTTTGTCTCCTTTGGCAGGAAGGCAACAACAACTCATCTCCAATGGATTTTATCAATGCCAAGAGAACAAATTTCCCTTCAGAACAGTTCCGTCATCCCTCAAAGAGGCTAGAAGTTGTTCAGCATGAATCAGATGAGCAGCCTGTAAAGCCAATGCCTCAAACCAACTCTACTTCCAAAATACCTGAGGAAACAGTAAATCCAGCAGATGTGGTTAAGACCATTGTTCTTACACCCTCTCCAGTAGGACAGAAGCAAGACATGATACTTGAGGCCCATTCAGATACCATAGCAGAGACAAACAGCAGCTCTCAAAATGAACTTTTGGAGCTAGGAGACCGGATGAGTGAGGAGGTGGCACTCTGTATGGAGGAGAGCTTGTTAGACGTTGTTGGGACTATGCCTGAAGAACCTCCATGGCAGGATTCGTCATCCTATCTCCTGGGATATCCAGTGCAATCCTGTTCTGAGCAGCAAATATGCTACTCCAAAGAAAGCCTGAAGGATGAGAGGACTGAGATGGTGACTGAGGACTTAGTGCTTTCTGAAAGTACTACACCTTCTTCCAGGCTAGGGCTTACCCCTTCCAGTGCCTGGGCAGTAGATTTCCCTGTCAATCATGAGAAGCCAGGGGAGGAAATGGTAGAACATGGAGTTACAGAGGAAAGAGAAATAAGCTTTTCTATCCTTCATGACGAGGTTGGACTGGGAGACCATGCACTAGTCCCAGATGTGGAAGATGTTCCATCCTCATGCCTGACACCAAATCTAGTAGAGGTGGAATCCCAGGCAGGTCCAAGTCCAATGGTAGAAGGTACTGGAAGGCTTCTTGGCTGTGATTCAGAAACTTGGATGTCCCCATTGGCTTGGCTAGAAAAAGGTGTAAATACCTCAGTCATGTTAGAAAATCTCCGCCAAAGCTTGTCTCTTCCCCCTGTGCTTCAGGATGCTGCCATTCGCAATACCCCTCTCTCTACTTGCTCTGTGGGAACCTGGTTTACTCCTCCAGCACCACAGGGAAAACACATACATGAATGTCACACAGAAGGCACTAAGGGCACCAGTACTTCAGAGACAGGGTGCTTCTTGTGGGGGTAAGTGACTCCTTGTGACTCAGGAGCCTCAATATCTTGGGATCCGTTCCCATCCCTTTGCACCCCCCTCCACTCCCTCCTCCCCTCATGTTTTTCTCTTCTTGCAGTCATTGTCCTCCAGATCTGACTACTTTGTCTCGACCTGACTTGGAAAATAACCTACTGAGTTCTCTTGCCCTTCTGGAAATTCTCTCCCGCCAGCTGCAGGCTTGGAAGAGTCACTTGATTGTTTCTCACCCAGAAGCCAGGGACAGTTGCACCCAGACTGATACTAATACCAGTCCTATTAGGGTAAGTAGCTATCTTCCAAGGCTTAGATGACCCCAGCGGCCCCTCTCTCTGATTTATGTTGATAAACTACCAGGGGCAAAGGGGACTCCTTCATTCTTAGAATATTTGTAAAGGCTGAGGGTCTGGAAAAATGTTTAAAAAGTCTTGATATACCCTTGACTCTCTTTTTTTTGGTCGGTTGTGGGGCCTCAACTCTGGGCCTAGGCGCTGTACCTCAGCTCTTCAGCTCAAGGATAGCACTCTACCATTTGAGCCACAGTGCCACTTCTGGCTTTTTTTGCCTATGTGGTGCTGAGAAATCAAACCCAGGGCCTCATGTATGCAAGGCAAGCACTCTACCACTGAGCCACCTTCCCAGCCCCTACCCTTGACTCCTTAAGGGAATGCAATTATGAAAGTTTTAAAGGAACCGGTCTCTAAGCCTTCATCTTCCAAATGTATTTTGTGTCCTTCATGCCAGTACCAGGGTTTGAATTTACGGGCCTTGTGCTCTATCAGTTTGCTTGTTCATGGCAGGCACTCTATCACTTGAACCACAACACCACTTCTGGGTTTTTCTGTTTATATAGTACTGAGGAATTAAACCCAGGACTTCATGCATGCTAGGTAAGCACTCTACCACTAAGACACATTCCTAGCGCGCCCCCCACCCAATCCTTTTAAAAAAAATTTTCCTTTTGTGTCCATACTGGGATTTGAATTCAGGGTCTTTATATCCAGTTTTGAGTGTGTGTGTGTGTGTGTGTGTGTGTGTGTGTGTGTGTGTGTGTGTGCGCGTGCGTGTGCTTGTGCTTGCGCTTATAATAGGGCTTGAATTCAGGACCTAGGTACTGTCCTTTTTTTTTTTCTCTCAAAGCTAGCATGCATGAAGCCTTGGGTTTGATTCCTTAGTACCACATAAATAGAAAAGGCTGGAAATGGCGCTGTGGCTTGGTTTTAAGTGTTAGTCTTGAGCACAGAGAGTCTGAGGGACAGTACTCAGGCCCTGAGTTCAAGCTCCAGGACTGGCAATAAATAAATAAATAAATACCTAGCTCTCTACCACTTGAGCTACAGGTACTCTTCTGATGTTTTGCTAATTAATTGGAGATAAGAGTTTCATGGACTTTCCTGTCTGGGCTGGCTTTGAACAGCTATCCTCCAATCTTGGCCTCCTGAATAGCTAGGATTACAGGCATGAGCCACTATCCAGCTTTTCGCTGAGTAATTAGAGATAAGAGTTTTTCCAATTTGTCTACTAGGCTGGCTCTAAACCGGCATCCTCAGCTTTCAGCTTCCCCAGTAGCTAGGATAATATTCACGAGCTACAAATGCCAGGTAAAACTAATGTATTCTTTTTTTTTTTTTTTCCAGAGCTGAGGACCAAACTCAGGGCCTTACATTTGCTAGACAAGTACTTTTTCACTGAGGGAAATTCCCAACCCCACAAATGTATACTAACTTTTTTCTTTCCTACTTCCTCATTCTCAGTTGCCTTTGTTCACTTTTTTGAAGAAGAACATATTTCCTATCACAAATTTTAAATAGCAATCAAAGGGCAGGTAGCTTGCACCTGTAATTCTAGATGCTCAAGAGGATGAGATCTGGAGGATTGTGACTCAAAGCAAGCCTGGATAGAAAAGTCTGCAAGACTCCATCTACAAAATAATCAGTAAAAAGCTGAGCTGAAGGTGTGGTTCAAGTGGTAGAGTGCCAAGAATGAGTAAAAAAGCTGAGAGTGAGAGACCCTCAGTTCAAATCTCAGTACTGACAAAACACACACACACACGCAAAGAAAAAACTAGAAAATATTTGTGCACATTTTGATTTTTTTTTTTTTTTTGGGTCCGGTCGTGGGGCCTGAACTCTGGGCCTGGGCGCTGTCCCTCAGCTCTTCAGCTCAAGGCTAGTGCTCTACCACTTGAGCCACAGCGCCACTTCTGGCTTTTTTCTTTTTTCTTATGTGGTGCTGAGGAATCAAACCCAGGGCCTCAGGCATGCAAGGCAAGCACTCTACCACTTAGCCACCTTCCCAGCCCCTTGTGCACATTTTGAGAAGGCAAACAACTAATGATTATATAATATATCATTGGCTTTTTTTTTTTTTTGCCAGTACTAGGGCTTGAACTCAGGACCTAGGCATTGTCCCTGAGCTTCTTTTGCTCAGGCTAGCACTCTACTACTTGAGACCCAGCACCACTTCCAGTCTATTCTGCTTATGTGGTACTGAGGAATCGAACCCAGGGCTTCATACATGCTAGGCAAGCACTCTACCACTAAGCCATATTCCCCTCCCATGGGGAAGCCAGTTTTTTTTTTTGTTGGTCATGGGGCTTGAACTCTGGGCTTGGGTGCTGTCCTTGCGCTCTTCAGCTCAAGTCTAATACTCTACCACTTGAGCCACAGCGCCACTTCTGGCTTTTTCTGCATATGTGGTGCTGAGGAATCAAACCTAGGGCCTCATGCATGCAAGGCAAGCACTCTACCACTGAGCCACCTTCCCAGCCCCAGAAAGCCAGTTTTAAGACCACTGTTCTGGAGGACTGTAACTGAGACAACACAGGATTGAGAAGGAATGGAATGGGATCAGGGGAAAGAATTGAGAGTGTCAGTTAGCATTGTGGCTGTAGAAATAGTAAGTGGTTATTGCTAAGAAATGGCCATAGATCTCATTTGGGTTGAAAACACCCTCAAAATAATGACTTTTTCTTTTGCCCAAATCTTGGAAACAATGGGCTCCTCGTTCTTCTAGCTGCTGAGTTTCTCTTGGGTTATTTTGGTATCGTTTCCTCTTGTCCTTGACCTCATTTCCCACTCTTGAATCTGCCTTCTATCCTTTTCCCCTGAAGCTTGCCAGGTCCTGTTGGAGGCTGCTGAAGCAGAACCAGAGCATGGGAAATGACATCTCCTTCAGCCATTTCCCTTCACCATGCTTGTCCTTGCCGCTTGGCTACCTCCATCACATTAATCTCATCACCTGCCTGACTGCCCAGCTCTGAGCAATGTGTGTGCCCTGTCCAGGGCGCATGGAATACTCCGTGCCTTTCTGCACGATGCAGTAGATAATGACCAGTGCTTTGCTGGGGGAAGGGAGCTATGAACTCTTAAGATCTGAGGATGGGGTAACCGCCACCTTCAGTCAACACTGGCACAGCCTGGTGACTCAGCATTGCCATTCCAGAGAGACAATAGCTATCTTTCAGCAGTAATGACTCCTGCTTTTCTCTTATTTAAAAAAACAAAAATTTGTTTTGCCAATACATGCTTGATAAGTAGGAGCTATACCATTTAAGCCATGATTCCAGTCTTTTTTTCTTTTTTCATTGATTATTTTTGAGGTAGGGTCTTGCTTTCTGCCTTGGCCAGCCTAGGCTGTAATCCTCCTACTTGAGTTTCTCATTTCACTGGGGAAAACAGGTGTATACCACTCTACTTAGCTATTGGTTAAGATAGAGTCTCTCAACCTTTTTGTCTGGGCTGGCCTTGAACCCTGATTCCCCTATTTATGACTCCCAAGTAGCTTTTTTGTTTTTTTGAAACAGGGTTTCAACATGTAACCCAGGCTGGCCTCCTCCTGATGATCATTCTGCATTAGCCATCCTTCCAAGTGCTGGGATTATAGGCATATGGCACCAAGCCTGTCTTCATACTAAGACTTTTTTTTTTTAATAAACATGGAATGCTTCATGAATTTACATATCTTTGCACAGGGGCCAGGCTGATCCATACTAAGATTTTTATCTGCTCTTAGATAATTGACAATTTTTGAAAACAGAAATTATTGTTAAGGGACTAGGAAGATGGCTCTGGTAGAGCACTTGTCTTGCATGCATGAGGTCCTGGGTTCGATTCTTCAGCACCATATAAGTAAAATGAAAAAAGTTGGAAGTGGTGTTATGGCTCAAGTGGTAGAGCGCTAGCCTTAAGCTGAAGAGCTGAGGGACAGCGCCCAGGCCCAGAGTTCAGGCCCCATGCCCGGACCCTCCCCCCCCAAAAAAAGAAATTATTGTTAAATATTAAGGAAGGTTAGAGCCAGGTGCTGGTGGTTCATGCATGTAATCCTAGCTACTTAGGAGGCTGAGATCTGAGGACCATTGTTCAAAGCCAGCCTGGGCAAGAAAGGCTGTGAGACTCTTAGACTCTTATCTCCAGTAAAAACTGGAAGTGGAGCTGTGGCTCAAAGTGGTAGTTTTGACCACAAAAGCTCAGGCAGGTTGCGAAGGTGGCTCAGTGGTAGAGTGCTTACCTCTCATGCATGAGGCCCTCAATTCAATTTCTTAGCACCACATAAGCAGAAAAAGTCAGAAGTGGAGCTGTGGCTCAAGTGGTAGAGCGCTAGCCTTGAGCTAAAGAGCTGAGGGACAGTGCCCAAGTCCAAAGTTCAGGTCCCACATCTGACAAAAACAAAACAAAACCTCTCAGGCAGTGCCCAGGTCCCCTTAGTTCAAGCCCCATGGCCAACAACAACAAACCCAGAAAACAAACAAACAATGTAGGAAGGTTAATATTAGGGTAGGAGTATGGGAGTGTAGCTCAATGCTTGCCTAACAAGCATGAGATCTTGTTTTTGTTTTTGTTTTTTGTTTTTGGTGTAGGTCATGGGGTTTAAACTCATGGCCTAGATGCTGTCCCTGAGCTTTTTCAAGGCCAGCACTCTACCACTTGAGCTGCAGTTCCACTTCCAGCTTTTTTTGGTGGCTAATTAGAGATAGGAGGCTCATGGACTTTCCTGCTCAGTCTGGATTTGACCCACAATCCTCAGATCTCAGGCTTCTGAGTAGCTAAGATTACAGGCATGAACCATTGGTGCCTGGCTAGGCCCAGTGTTTGATCACCAGCACAACACACACACACACACAATGTATGCACACTACCCCGGAGATGGAGATCCAGAGGATCTTGATTCAAAATCAGACTATGTAAAAAGTTATTGAGACCATACAGCAACAATAAGCCAAGCAGGCCAGGCACCAGCTTTTCTTTCTGGCTTGGTGTCATCTAGTTCGGAGCTTTGCTCTTCTGATAGGAAGGGTTTCTATAATACCCTGTAGGGACAGAACGAGGGACTGCTGGTATATGTTGTCTACCTGAAAGAAGCAACTCCTATTTCCTTGGCTAGGTAACTAAGACTCCTCAACATCTTCAGGAGAGCCAAGAGATAAGACGGGTCCTGCAGGAGGCCAGAAACATCATGGTAAGTATTGTTTGACCTTACACTACCATAGGAATCACCTGTAAAAATAAAAAATGGAGAAACCTAGCTGAGTACCAGTGGCTCACACCTGGGATCCTAGCTGCTCAGTAGGCTGAGATCTGAGGATCACAGTTTGAAGCCAGCCTGGGCAAAAAAGTGTGTGAGCCTCAACCTCCAATTACAGTCAAATGCCAGAAGTGGAGCTGTGGCTCAAGGGGGAGAGCACAATCCTTGAGCAAAGAAATTCAGAGATAATAGCTAGGACAAACCCCAGTAACCAGCACCAACAAGAAAGAAAGAGAGAGGGAGAGAGACAGACAGAGAGAGAAAGAGAGAGAATGAATGAACCTTAGGTGATTAGTACATGATAATACTCTGCCATAGTGAGTATTACCGTTTACTGCCATGGTAGAGGGAGGTAAGTGAACCTTTATGAATAACTTCTTTTCCTTACTAGGAAACCCATTAGGGTTGGTAAGCTTTCCTCTCCAGTGCCCTTGCTTCCTGCTTTGAGGCATTTGATCTAGCCTAGTCATCTTGTCCTCCACAGCAATCGTGGGTGCTAGCCTCCAAAGAGCTGATATCCTTGCTTCACCTGTCTCTGTTGCATGACAAAGAAGACAGAATGACTGTGAATCAGGAGGTAAGCAGTGTACAGGTGAAGGTGGAAGCCTCTGCTGAAGCAGGAAGCCAAGAAAAGAAACCAGACATGGTAACCGATTCTTTTTACCTTATAGTCTCAACGTGTAGAAACCATGGTCTCTTGTTGCCTTGATATGTTGAAGAAATTGAGGGCAAAGTTCCAAAGCCTCAGAACGGAAAGAGAGGAAGCAAAGAATGGAGAGGAAATAGCCCTCAAGGGAAAAGATGCGGTAAGGTACCAGGTGTTCGTTCTGGTGATGTGGGAGGTTTCCGCTTCAAAGTTCCTATAGGAGCTGGGTGCCGGTGGCTCACACCTGTAATCCTAGCTGCTCAGGAGGCTGAGATCTGAGGATCGCGGTTCAAAGCCAGCCTGGGCAGGAAAGTCCTTGAGACTCTTATCTCCAATAAACCACTAGAAAACCAGAAGTGGTGCTGTGGCTCAAGTGGTAGAGCGCTCACCTTGAGCTCAAGAGGGCAGAGACAGAGCCCAAGGCCAGAGTTCAAGCCCCACGACTGACCAAAAAAAAAAGAAACAAAGTTCCTATAGGAGTGCACTTGAGACATAGATGGATAGCGTGGGAACGAAGAAGTAAACTACTGGGAGTGAAGTTTGTGTTGTAATCTCAACTACTCAGGAAGATCAGGAGTTCAAAATTTCTATGCTAGACACTGGTGGCTCACCCCTGTAATCATAGCTACTCAGGAAGCTGAGATCTGATTGTTTTGGTTCAAAGTCCATCCAAGCAGGAAAGTCCATGAGACTTATTAATTAACCACCAAAAATCTGGAAGTGGAGCTGTGGTTCAACTGGTACAGTGCTAGCCTTGAGCAAAAAAGCTCAGGGACAGTGCACAGGCCCTGAGTTCAAGCCCCAGGACCTGCATACACAAGAAAAAAAAAAATCTCACTGTGTACTGGTGCCTCATATCTTAATTCTAGCTACTCAGGAGGCAGATCTGATGATCAAGGTTCTAAGCCAGCTGAAAAGTCTATGACCCTTTTCTCCAGTTGGCCATCAAAAAAGTGGGCTGTGGCTCAAGTGATAGAGCACCAGACTCAATTGAAAATGCCAAGCAAGATAATAAGGTTCTGAGTTCAAACCCCAGTACTACCTATAAAGCAAAAATAAATTTAAAAAGTTTAAAATCTGCTCAGGAAAAGATAGCAAGACCTAATCTCGTGTATGTCTTTTTTCTTGGTAGTGCTAGGTTTGAATTCGGGCCCCCAAATTTGCTAGACAGGTGATCTGCCACTTGAGCTACATGCCCAGCCAAAAAGACCTTGTCTGAAAAAATAAAAAGGGCTCGAGACATAACCTAAGTAGTAAAATACAAGTTTAGTATGTGCAAAGGCCCTGGGTTCCCTCTCTAGAACCACAATAACAACAGCAAAAACAAAACAAAACAAAAAAAATAGACAACCTCCCAAGCTATACAAGTTTTGGATGATTATGTTGGATGATTATGATGGTGCACCATTTCCTCCATTACTCATAATGTCCTTGCAACCTCTTCTCTAAACAGGCAGAGGCAATACTGGAGGCTTTCTGTGCACATGCCAGCCAGCGCATCAGCCAGCTGCAACAGGATTTGACATCCATGCAAGAATTCAGAACCCTTCTCCAGGAGGCTCAGACCCAACTGGTAATTCAGAGCCCTTCTACAAGAGCCCCAGACCCAACTGGTCCGTGCAGACACACTGGGAAGATGGCCACAGATTTCCACTTAGCTGCCACCTTCCTTTGTAGGTAGGGCTTCATACAGAGCAAGAGGAGTTGGCTCAGCACATGGTGAGTCTGACTACTACCTTGCAACAGGACTGGACATCCATGCAACTGGATGTGAGTATTTGGGGTCATCATCACTGCTTCCTTACTCTCCGCCAGCCCTGTTAGGAGCCTTGCCTCAAGTGTACTCTGCTGACCTCCTTATTTCCCCCGGTAGTATGTGACATGGACAGCTTTGCTCAGTCGGTCTCGACAACTTACAGAGAAGGTGGTAGCCAAGAGCCAGAAAGCCCTGCAGGAACGTGACACTGCAATTGAGGAAAAGCAGCAGGTAGAGATCAAGAGTGGGACTGCTTAGGCTTGGTTTCTTCCTTTGGCAGAAGCCTTTCTACTGTGTGATACTGTTATTCTCTGTCTTGTCTTCTTTCCACCCTGGGTTTGGATACCAGCCAGTTCCCTTGGCTCCCGACATGGCTTGAATCCAGTTGTTTCCTTTGCTCTTCAGCACTAGCTTAACTTCAGCAATTTTTCTTCTGGCTTATTTTTCCTGAGGATCAGCTTTTTTTTCTGCCTTGTGGCTGCCCAGGAATAAGGTAGTTTGCTCTCTTGTCCAGAAAAAGAAGTTGCACTATGTCTTGGAATTCTTGACTAAGGAGGAACTATAGAAAGAAAACTGTCTTCCTAGATTTCCAGGGAGCTGGAACAAGTCTCTATCCATTTAGAGGAATGTAAAGGCCAATTAGAACAACTGAAGTTGGAGAACAGTCGCCTAGCAACAGGTGCGTGTTTGTGAGTGTACAAGTATGCAAGTAGTTGAACCTACTAAGACTTGCAGTGTTAGTAGAACTGGAAAGTGCTCTAGAGTATTTGCTTTACAACAGAATTATGCCGGGGCTAGGAGGGGGGTGAGGGGCGGGGGGGCGCTTCTGATCTAGTGATTTCATGGTGTATGTAACAAGGATACTGTTGATCTAGATTTTCAGGCACAGCTGCAGATTCTAGCCAGCACAGACAGCCAGCTAAAAGAGCTACAGAGTCAGCATGCCCATTGTGCCCAGGACCTAACCATGAAGGATGAGTTGCTGTACCAGCTTACCCAGAGCAATGAGGAGCAGGCTGCTCAGTGAGTCCCTGTCAAGTTATTTTATTTTATTTTATTTATTTATTTTTTGTCGGTTATGGGGGCTGAACTCTGGCCCTGGGTGCTGTCCCTCAGCTCTTCAGCTCAAAACTAGCACTCTACCACTTGAGCCACAGTACCACTTCTGGCTTTTTCTGCTTATGTGGTGCTGAGGAATTGAACCCAGGGCCTCATGCATGCAAGGCAAGCGCTCTACCACTGAGCCACCTTCCAAACCCCCCTGTTAAGTTATTGTGGCAGTAGGCACCCAGTGTGTGGGATCAGATGGAATCTAATTTAATTAAGGTCTCTGGCAGATGGCAAAAGGAGGAGATGGCACTAAAGCAAATAAAGGCAGAACTACAGCAACAGAAGGCTGTGTTGGCCAAGGAAGTGCAGGACTTGAAGGAGACCCTAGAGGTAAGGAATTGGACTTAGGGAGTAGGTGGTATGGAGGTGCAGTTTGAGACTGGACTAGAAAAAACCTCTGGTCCTCAGAGTTCTAAACTTCTCTACTTGGACTCATTTTTTTCCCCTTCCTCTCTTGTGTTTTTTCTTCTTTATCTCGTCTTGGCAGTTTGCAGACCAAGAGAGTCAAGTTGCTCACCTAGAGTTGGGTCAGGTGGAATGTCAGTTGAGAACTACACTGGAAGTGCTCCGGGAACGCAGCCTGCAGTGTGAAACCCTCAAGGACACTGTAGATAACCTAAAGTAAGATTTCTGTCTGTCTGTGCTTCCCCACAGGTGCTTCTCCCCAAGAACAAGTCTAGAAACCAGAGTCTCCAAGAGGACTGTGTTAAGGCTCTTCCCCCTTTTCTTGGTGCCAGAACTGGGGCTTGAACTCAGAGCCTTGTGTTCTCACTTGGCTGTTTCACTCTAGGCTAGCACATGACCACACCTCCATTTCTGGTTTCTTGCTGGTTAATTGGAGCTGAGAATCTTACAGCTTTGTCTGTTCATGCTGGCTTTGAACCTTGATCCTCATATCTTGTCCTCCTGAGTAGCTAGGATTGCAGGCAGTGAACTACTGGCTCCCAGTTTTGTTTTTCTCATTGACTGGGGAGGGTAGAGGTTGGTAGAGGTGTTCAGAGAAGGTAACCTCCTCTGCCTGATTTCTTGTCTCAGGGCTGACCTGACTAGAACCAAAGCAGAGAAACAGGAACAAGCTCTGGAGAAGGCACACCAGTTTTCCCAAAGGCTAGGGCTGCTGACTGATCAACTACAGAATCTGACAATCTTCCTTCAGACAAAATTAAAAGAGAAGGTAGGATCCTGGAGAAGATAAGAAGGATTCCTTTTCTTCTCTTCCCATTGTATCTTTATTATGTAGTGTCTTCCCAAAACCATATTCTTTCTTTTTTGATGGTTATGGGCTTGGGTGCTGTCCCTGAGTTCCTTTTGCTCAAAGCTAGTGCTCTACTGCTTTGAGCCATAGTGCTACTTCTAGTTTTCTGGTGGTTAATTAGATTAGAATAATTAGGCTGGCTTTGAACTGTGATTCTTAGATCTCAGCCTCCTGAATAGCTAGGATTACAGGCATGAGCCACCAATGTCCAACCTAAAACCATATTCTTGTTTCATCTCATTGAATTTACTTCCCTACAGGACCTCTTCAGCCTGTCACTCAACAATTCATCCTGCCTTCATTTTACTCTCCTTAATTGGACTGCACCCCATATATACCATCCCCATTCATACCTGGCTCCAGGGGGCTGTTTTCTTTTATTTTCAAACTACTTTTAAAATTCCTTTCCTTTTCTATTAAAATCCTGCCCTTGAAATATTCCCAAGTCAAATGGACTCAATGACCTCTTAGTATTTGTATCCAGAGATCCCAATCTTTTTATTTATCCTTTATTTTATTATTATTATTTTTTTTTTTTGGTGGTGGTGGGGCTTGAACTCTGGGACTGGGTGCTGTCCATGAGCTCTTCAGCTCAACTCGAGCACTCTACCACTTTGAGTTACAGCTCCACTTCCGGGGCTGGGAAGGTGGCTCAGTGGTAGAGCGCTTGCCTTGCATGGATGAGGCCCTGGCTTCGATTCCTCAGCACCACATAAGCAAAAAGAAGAAAGCCAGAAGTGACGCTGTGGCTCAAGTGGTAGAGTGCTAGCCTTGAGCTGAAGAGCTGAGGGACAGCGCCCTGGCCCAGAGTTCAGGCCCCATGACCGGACCGAAAAATAAATAAATAAATATACAGCTCCACTTCCGGTTTTCTGGTGGTTAATTGGAGATAAGAGTCTCATGGACTTTCCTACCAAGGCTGGTTTTGAACTGGGATCCTCAAATCTGAGACTCTTGAAAAGCTGGGATGATAGGCATGAGCCACCAGCACCCGGCCACACTTATTCTTCTTTTCCACTTGTATTAATTTTCCCTGGAGAGCTGATCTTTTCAACTAGACAATGTTTAAAAGAAAGCATAAATTTAGCCTTGCTTCTTTTGCTTCCCTAGAGTATATTCTGAACAATAAATGGTTGCTCTCTTTCAGTAGATAGAGTTAATTAGCTTATTCCACAGTGAAAGGTACAACCCAGATCTTGACCCTTGTTCTTAATTGAATGCCAAGCACAGAAAATTCCAGTGTACAGGCTAGTAGCTAGTAAGGAATACAGGCAGATATGAAGTTACCTTGACTTTTTTTGGCTGGTCATGGGGCTTCAACTCAGGGTCTGGGCTCTGTCCCTGAGCCCTGAGTCTTGGTGCTTAAAGCTAACGCTCTATCACTTGAGCCACAGCGCCACTTCGGGCTTTTTCTAAGTAGTTTATTGGAGATAAGAGTCTCACGAACATTTTTGCCTGGTCTGGTTTCAAACTGCAATCCTCAGCTCTTAGCCTCCTACATTGCTAGGATGACAGGTATGAACCACCAGCATTCATCTTATCTTGACATATGATCATGGTGGAGGTCATGGACTACTATGGGAATTCAGAGGAAGGAGGATCAGTTCTACCATAGAGAGTTCAGTATATCCTCTCAAAGTAGGTGACCTTGGACAGTCTTACAAGTTAGAAGTTTATAGGTTAAGGTAGGTATATAGGTAGATCCACCAAGGGAAGAAGCGAATCCTAGCTACTTGAGAGGCTGAGATCTGGAGGATCTCAATTGAACACCAGCCTAGACAATAAGTTCCAGAGACTACATTTTAATCAATGATTGGGCATGGTGGCATGTGCCTGTCATCCCATCTACAGAAGAACATTAGCTAGGCATGGTAGTACTAGACTATAATTCCAGCCGGGCGCCGGTGGCTCACGCATGTAATCCTAGCTACTCAGGAGGCTGAGATCTGAGGATTGGGGTTCAAAGCCAGCCCGGGCAGGAAAGTCTGTGAGACTCTTATCTCCAATAAACCACTAAAAAACTGGAATGGTCCTGTGGCTCAAGCGGTAGAGCACTTGCCTTGAGCTGAAGAGTGCAAGGACAGTGCCCTAGGCCAGAGTTCAAGCCCCATGATCAAAATAAATAAATAATAAACTGTAATTCCAGCTATGCAGGAAAGTACAAATAGGAGAATTGAGGTCCAGGCTAATCTGGGCATAAAGTGATGCTGGGAATGTGGCTTAATGGTAGAGTGCTTGCCTAGAGTGCATTAAGCCCTAGGTTTAATTCCTCAGTACCATATCCATAGAAAAAGCCAGAAGTGGTGCTGTGGCTCAAGTGGTAGAGTGCTAGCGTTGAGCAAAAGAAGCTCAGGGACAGTGTCCAGGCCCTGAGTTCAAGCCCCAGGACTAGCAAATAAACAACAAAAAAAACCAATGCAAGCCGGGTGCGTACACCTATAATTTCTAGCCACTTGAGAGGCTGAGATCAGAAAGATTATAATTTGAGGCCAACCCCAGGCCTTCTCAATACATAGTTGGGTATGGTGGCATGTACCTATCGTTCTAAGATAGGGGAGAAAAGTCCAAGAAATTACATCTCTGTGGAGGGAAGTTGCACATGGTGGCAAGCATCTATGATCTAAGCATCTATAGGAGGTCTAAAGTAGGCGGGTCATAGCTTAAAATGTGAGCTTGGATAGAAAACAAAACCCTATCTCAAAAATGACCAGTAAGATATTGGAAATGAACTTTACAACTTCCTGGGGGGGTAAAAGTGGGGAGTGAGCAAGGTAGGGGAGGGAATGGATAGTGGGAGAACAACAAAGGAGGAGGTAACAATGCTTGACAAGAAATGTACTCATTACTCATGTAACTATATCCTCTCTGTACAGCATCTTTACAATAAAATTAAAAATAAATAACCAAGCCGGGCGCTGGTGGCGCACGCCTGTAATCCTAGCTACTCAGAAGGCTGAGATCTGAGGATCAAGGTTCAAAGCCAGCCCAGGCAGGAAAGACTGTGAGACTCCTATCTCCAATAAACCACCAGAAAACTGGAAGTGGCACTGTGGCTCAAGTGGTAGAGCACTTGCCTTGAGCTGAAGAGCTGAGGGACAGCCACCAGGCCCAGAGTTCAAGCCCCATGACCGACCAAAAAATAAAATAAAAATAAAACCAGTGAAGAGCTGGGGCACTGGTGGCTCATACCTAACTAATCAGGAGGTTGAGATCTGAGGATTGTGGTTTAAAACCAGCCTGGGCAGGAAAGTCTATGAGACCCTTACTACTAATAAACTACTAAAAAATCAGAAGAGTGTGGCTCAGTGGCTCAAGTGATAGAGTGCTAGCTTTGAGCAAAAGAAACTCAGGGACAGCTACCAGGCCCTGAGTTCAAGTCCTAGGACCAACACCAAAAAAGTGAAGAATAGGGTTGGAGGCATGGCTCAAGTGGTAGAGTACCAGCCTACCAAATCCCAGTGCCACCTAAAAAATAAAAATTAACCAATGCAAAAAGGACTTCCAGGGTAGAATATCTACCTAGCAAGCATGAGGCCCTGAATTCAAATTCCAGAATTGAAAAAAAAAACAAGACAAAACCAGAAAACAGCCATTCACAGTATGTAAATGAGTGAGTATGGCTATTTTCCAAATAACACATTTGCAAAAACAGTTGGCAGGCCAGACTTGACCCAGAGGCCATAATTTGTTGACTGTTCTGCTCTAGAACAGTAAATACAGAAGTAGAGACATATATTTGATAGAGTGGGGCAGAGAAAATAGTAAACTCAGTATTATACATTCTAAGTTTCCTGTGAACTGTGGAACATTCTAGGGTATTTTTTTTTTCCCCCACAGGCAGTTAGTCTTTGGGCCTGGAGCCTGGGAAAAAGTCCAGTTTAGAGGCTGATTGAAGAGTCATTCATGTGGAAGTTTGCAGTGGATGCTTTTGTGGAGCTCTGGAGGCAGAGCCATCCGGGAAATGGATAAATGGATTAGAGTGAAAAGAGGGCCAAATACTGAACCCATGGGTGCCAAGGATTAAAGAAGGAGCTGAAGGCTGAGAGAAGAAACAACCAGAAACGTATAAGGCCTATCCATAAAGGGTGGTCATGACTTGAAAGAAAAAATAAATCACAATATGGTCCTTAGTATTAAGTAGGCCACGTAAACAAGAGCTAGAAAATATCCATTGCCAATAAAAGTAAGGATGCCACTGGTGACCAAATTATAAGAATTTTGGTAGAATGGCACCCTGGCTATTACTTATTTTTATTTTTTAATATAATTTTGTTGTTGTTATGATTAAGGTGTTTTACAGAGGATTACCATTTCATAAATCAGGTAATGAGTACATTTGTTTTTTTTGGACAATGTCACCATTAATTTCGCCTTCCCCCAGTCGGCTGTTTATTTTTAAGTTATTACCGTGTTAGTGGGAGAGACATAGTTTACAAAGTTGTTCTGGGAAAGGTATTGATGGAATTGAAGAGAACTATCAAAAGCTAGATGCTAATTCTTGTAATCCTAGCTACTCAGGAGGCTGAGATCTGAGAATCATGGTTCAAAGCCAGCCTGGGCAGAAAAGTGGCTCAAGTGATCGAGCATTGGTCTTGAGTGAAAAGTTAAGGGAGCATACCCAGGCCCTGAGTTCAAGTCCTAGTACAGGCACAAAAAGGAAAAGGAAGAAAGGAAGGGAGGAGAGAGAGAGAAAAAGAGAGCGCGAATGAGCGAGCGAGCAAGTGTACATGCTGGCAGGCATGGGTGAAGTAGAAGGTAGAAAAGGGCTTTGGAAGAAATGTCTGGGAGTGCCCGGGCACTCAGGAAATCACTCTGAAGCGCAGCTAATTTATTCATTTTTTTCTCTCCTTTGTCTTTAGACTAAACTGGAGACCCTTCTGCTGAGCACAGACTGTGTTCTCAAACAAGAACACCCACTGCCTAATGAGAATGCCTTGATGGGAGACACATTGACAGCAGTGGCAGATGAAGGTTTAAGATGCTGGGATCTGGGGGTGGGAAGGCTGTGAACCCTGCTCCTGATATCATCAGCTGGTGAAGGTGTCCACCATTAGAATCATCTGTCTCCTCCAGTTTTGATTTTGGTTCTGACTGGGTCACTGGCAGGGTCCCTCACTCATAGAGCTTGTTTTTTGTTTGTTGGTTTGTTTGTTTCATTTTAGAGCCAGAATCAGCTCCTGTACCTCTGGTTGGAAGTGACACAAGTGCTTTCACCCGAGTAGCATCTATGGTTTCCCTTCAGCCTACAGGTTAGGATGGGCTCCAGGGACCCTGCCCCATTTCTAGAAAATCTGGTAATGATAAGTAAAGACAAAAGCAGTGAGAAGTGCTTTGCTCTAAAAACCTCAATTCTACTTGGGCTCATTTTATTTCTGCCTTTTGGGATCTGTAATGTTCTGGATATTCAAATGCTACGGATGGGGAACACAAGAGTTATGGAAATGATGGTTATACACTCCTTCCTTCCTTCCTTCCAGGTTGAAGGTCTGTACCTCTATCTAGAACTTTCTCTTTCAGAGACACCTGACCTAGAGAGTAGCCTAGAAAAAATGAGCACTACCCTTCTTGAACTTGAGAACCTATGTTCACTGCTGCAAGAATCTAAAGAAGAAGCCATTGGATTTCTGCAGCAAAAAATGTGAGTAAGGTAGAGTTTTAATGTTCAGGGTTGAGTAAGAGAGTTCTTTATGCAAAAGGCTTGACTGGTCTCTGAAGACAAGACAGATACAGAATTCTTCCTTCCTCTAGTTATCATCTGCAGGATAGGCTTCAGGACCAGGAAGAACAGCATCAGGAAGCCCAGAAGGCCAAGGAAGCAGACATAGAGAAGCTGAACCAGGCCTTGTGCTTGCGCTACAAGGTAGAGGAGGGGCCTAGAAGTGGGGCGATGAAGAACTGGGGCAGCTCTATTGGTCCACTGGGAGCCATTGTCTCTCTGGGAATCTGGGTGGTAGGGATTTTCCAACCACTGCCCTAGTTTTGCCCTTCCTGGGGTCAGATATTTCACATATTGGGAATCAGTTCTGGGCTGGCCTGTGTTCCCAGGCAGAACTAGGAGAGAAGTTAGGAACGGTCTCAACATTGAGATGTACCTTGTTTGACTTGCCCTGGAGGAAGAATTGGAATGATAACAAGTGGTCCTACCAGGGCTAAGCATGAGTGGAGGAGTTCTCTTCTACTTCTGGTAAGAGCTACAAAGAAACCAGCTCTTCCTCAATGTTTTCTTCCATCCCTTTTCTCTCACAGAATGAAAAGGAGCTCCAGGAAGTGATACAGAAGCAGAATGAGAAGATCCTAGAACAGATAGACAAGAGTGGCGAGCTCATAGTATGTTCCCATGATGCCCATCCTTTTCCTTCTGTGCCTTTCATAGCCAGCTCTCAAACATGAGGACTGGATACCCTACTCTGCCTTTATTTACCACAGGTGGTAAGAAGGCTATTGGATATCTCTGTTCTTATCCTCAGAGCCTCAGAGAGGAGGTGACCCAGCTTACCCGCTTACTTCGACATGCAGAGACAGAGACTAAAGTGCTGCAGGAGACCCTGGCAGGCCAGCTGGACCCCACCTGTCAGTCCATGGTCACTAACTGGATCCAAGAGAAAGTGTGTCTCTCACAGGAGGTGACTCAAAGTTAACAGAGGAGCTGGGCAACTGGTGTGTAGGGGGGAACCCAACTGTGCCTCTATTAATATGAACATATCTATAGGTAGACAAGCTGAGGCTGATGTTCCTGGAGATGAAAAACGAGAAAGCAAATCTTGTGGTCAAGTACCAGAGCCATGTAAGGATTTCCATGCTCTGCTAGGCCCATTTCCTACTACCATAAGCAAGCCTTGTTGCCTCTGTCCTACCAAACTGTGCTGACCTTTTAAGAATGGAATTTATGAGGGCTGGGAAGGTGGCTCGGTAGAGTGCTTGTCTCGCATGCATGAGACTCTGGGTTCGATTCCTCAGCACCACATAAGCAGAAAAAGCCTGAAGTGGTGTTGTGGCTCAAGTGGTAGAGTGTTAGCCTTGAGCTGAAGAACTAAGGGACAGTACCCAGGCCCAGAGTTCAAGCCCCATGACCAGCAAAAAAAAAGAAAAAGGGAATGGGACTTATGAAACCTATGTGTTTTCTAGAGGAATATCCTAGAGGAGAACCTTCGACGCTCTGACACAGAGTTAAAGAAACTAGATGACATTGTCCAGCATATTTATGAGGTAAAGGATAAGGGAGGGAGGTAACAAAAGGAAGGCGCCTTAGCCCTACCTGTGCTGAGAAGTGGGCCTGACTCCCAACTGCAGGCTTCTCTGTGGCTTCCATTTTTACCCCTCTTAGTGTGTGTCCCTGGGGCTGGGAGCTTTGTGCTTCATTTAGGCTTGCTTTGTCTTCCCTTCACAGACTTTACTGTCCATCCCAGAGGTGGTGAGGAGTTGCAAGGAGCTACAAGGGCTGCTAGAGTTTCTAAGCTAAGAAACTGAAAATAGCTGGCTATGGTAGTGGACATCTATAGTTTCAGCTACACCAGAGGCTGAGGCAGGAGTATTGCTTGAGTCCAGGAGTTCAAGACCAGCATGGACATCATAACAAAGAGACTGCAAGTTGGGTTTTGCTTAGTTCTTATTTACCTACAGTACCTGCTTACCTCAACATTAGGATTGTTGGCATAAAGTTAACTGTGTGTAATGTTATTTAAATAAAGTATATTTAATGCATTTCTTCAAGCTCACTGAATCTTTTATCCCCCCATTAGAGGTGAGGGGTGGGAAAGGGTAGGTGAGATCAGAAGAGTCAACTTGGCCTCCTTGGCCTGGGCACCCTTCCTTTTTTTTTTTCTTTTTTTTTCTGTAAGTCATGGGGCTTGAACTCTGGGACTGAGACCTCTACCACTTGAGCCACAACACCACTTCCGGTTTTCTAGTGATTAATTTGAGATAAGAGTCTCACGGACTTTTTCTGCCTGGGTTGGCTTTGAACCGTGATCCTCAGATCTCAGCCTCCTGAATAGCTAGGATTATAGGCGTGAGCCACCAGCGTCCAGCAAGGTCACCCTTCATATATCCCTCTCTACTTCCTGCTACATCCTGAACCAGAGCTGTCTGCCCTTCCTCCCTTTACTTGTTTCCCCAAATACTCTGGGCACTGGACTGCCTGTTCCCTGGCTGGTGGCCTGGGGCGCGGGACGGGGAGGGGGGGCCGGACAGAATAGTCTCTATTCTCTAACTTTCTCCATCCTTCTTAAGGCGTAGGCTCTGGTAAATTAATATGGGGCTGATGATAAAGAAGCTCAGTTCATTACTCAGTTCATTCCTCCATGCTTTGAACTTCAGCATTGTTGGGGCAACCGCCACGTCGTTTTTACCTACTGTTTAGATAATTCCTCCACCAGACCAGGCTGTATGCCCTGCATGTGGCAAAGCCGATTGAGGTAGAGACCAACGTCGGGCCATTTCTTGCCTCTGGAGATCTGATGGCAAGGCTCCAGGAAGGGGGGCCCAGGGGAACAGTCCCTAATAGGCCTGGGGTCCTGGCAGAGAGTCACTCCACCTCACTGCCCCGCCTCTGAGGGCGTGGCCTTACCCCAGACCAGTCCTGGGAAGGGGCGGGGCCACGGTGAGGCCCTTCTAGCCACGCCCCCCATGGAGTCACGTAGCTCTGCGGCAGCAGCAGCCTCATTTACCCTGGGCCAGGGCTGAGCTGCTGCGGCTGCTCAAACCTGATCCTGAGCTGCGCTTGCCACTCGCTGCTGCTGGGAACTGGCTGCCCACAGGTAAGGCCCCAGAGCAAGGCATCTCAGCTTCTTCTTTTGACTCTCGCCCTGCCACCCTTGCCCTGTTTCCTGGAGCATCCCTTTTCTGCTTTCTCATAACATCCTCTCTCCTTTCTGTCACTTGAAAAAGCCCATAGCTTACTCTCTCCCACTCTACCCCTTCCTCCTAATTCTCCAGACTGGAACTCAGCTTTCCCAATCCCCCAACTTAATCTACCTCCTGGATATTTCCTTGGGGTCCATCTTTCCTACCTAGGCCATTTTAATCTCAGCCTGTTTTCTGTGCTTTCTAGACAACTTCCAGCTCTTGCCATCTCTGTCTTCAGGTCCTCAGGTCCCTTCCTCTGACTGGCTAGTTTGTATCACCATCACTATCCCTTGCTCTCTCCCCATTAATTTCAACCTTGAATCTCTGTTCCTGACTCCTCCACTGGATATCTGAGGTGTGGGGAGTCTAAGCTCTTCTTATTTTCCATGTCTTCTTGCACCCAGGGGAAGTGTTTCTGGGCATCAGAGATGAACTGGTGCAATCCCTTTCCCTAATCTTCCCATCTAACTGGCACTCTTTCCCTTCCACATTTTATAGCCTCACTGGGGCGATCCCCCAACACAAGGGTGGGGAGTAGTCAGTAAGCAGCCAGGTTTACAGTATTAAGAAGAAAAGCTTATCAAAGCTTACAGGTAGTGCCTGTATTTTTTTTTTTTGTCAGTCCTGAGGCTTGAACTCAGGGCCTGAGCACTGTCCCCGAGCCTCTTTTGCTCAAGACTAGCACTCTACTACTTGAGCCACAGTGCCACCTGTGGCTTTTTCTGTTTTATGTGGTTCTGAAAAATCGAACGCAGTGCTTCATGCATGTTAAGCACTCTACCACTAAGTCACAGTACCAGCCTGGTATTGCTCATATTTGTGTTTCCTTAACTTGCCCCCTTTGTCCCGAGCTTTTCCTTTAGAAGCTAGGTGAAGAGACAATGAATCACAAGTACTTTTGCCTCATTTTGAAGCGTTGGAAATAAGTGCATTTTTCCTAGGGGACCTGTTGAAGAAGCTGGAAATGCCAGGATTTATGCCTGGCATTGAAATTCAGTGCAGTGAAAGAAAAGTTGGCATCCTCAATTGGATAGCAGTTTTATAGGAAGACCTGTAGCTTCAAGACTGCCATCTCCCTGACCCCTGTTCAGCATCTTTCCTAAGCCTGGGAAGGGTGCCCACTAGGGACAAAAGGAGTTATGGGAAATGAGGCCCTAAGCCTGCTAGTTGTCAGTGAGATTGGTGCCACTTTGTTGCCCAGGACCCATGCCAAGGGCTTCTGCTCTACTTCCAGCCTCATGGCAGGGGGGTGGGAGAAGATTTAGCCTGTGTGGCCAGGGGAGGAAGAAGAAGAAGAGTTAGCAGGTGGGATCTAACTTTCATATCATATCTTCATTCCAGAAAGCTGTCACCATGCCCCACTCATATCCAGCCCTTTCTGCTGAGCAGAAGAAAGAGTTGTGTGACATTGCCCTTCGGATTGTGGCCCCAGGCAAAGGCATTTTGGCTGCAGATGAGTCTGTAGGTAGGTAGGGTCTTATTATGAGGGGTGTGTGTGTGTGTGTGTGTGTGTGTGTGTGTGTGTAGTAAGCAGTGGCCAGAGTCTTGGCGAGGGAACAAGTCTTTCCCTACTTTGTTTGCCTCTAGGCAGCATGGCCAAGAGGCTGAGCCAAATTGGGGTGGAGAACACGGAGGAGAACCGCAGGCAATACCGCCAGGTCTTGTTCAGCGCTGATGACCGTGTGAAGAAGTGCATTGGAGGGGTCATCTTCTTCCATGAAACTCTCTACCAGAAAGATGACAACGGTGTCCCTTTTGTCCGAACCATCCAGGATAAGGGCATTGTCGTGGGCATCAAGGTGTAGCCTTGGCTCTTACTAGCAGCTTGGTATAGAAATGGGTGTGTGTAGGAGAGGTGACAAAGAGATTCTCTGTTTCTCCTGCAGGTTGACAAGGGTGTCGTGCCTCTTGCTGGGACTAATGGAGAAACTACCACTCAAGGTATGTGGTGGGTGGGCTTCTGTACCACATGGTGTTAGAGTATTTGGTACTGACAAGAGAAGGGCAGGGTGATGAGGCTGGCACTATGCTTTCAGGGCTAGATGGGCTCTCAGAACGCTGTGCCCAGTACAAGAAGGATGGTGCCGACTTTGCCAAATGGCGCTGTGTGCTGAAAATCAGTGAGCGTACACCCTCAGCACTGGCCATTCTGGAGAATGCCAATGTGCTGGCCCGCTATGCCAGCATCTGTCAACAGGTGTGTTTTGGAGGTTTGGGTGGTCGGACAGGTGCCCTGTGACCTACCCTATCTGCTACCCTTCCCAAACAACTCTGCTCTTGCCCATAGAATGGCATTGTGCCTATTGTGGAGCCTGAGATCCTGCCTGATGGAGATCATGACCTCAAACGTTGCCAGTATGTTACAGAGAAGGTAAATCTGGGCACAGACACATTCTTCAGGGACAGCCTGACAGAGAGATACCTGTACCCCATTTTCCTGGCTTAAATCCAGGAACATTCTCCCCTAACATCTTTCACAGATCCTAGGCCTGGGAAAATGAGCTTGTTCTGGACTCTCACAATCCATGCCCGCTCCCCACCTAGACATAAGCATAGAATAGTAAGCAATGGTCCTATGCCCTTCATTAATATCTTCTGATCTCCAGGTCCTGGCTGCCGTGTACAAGGCCCTGAGTGATCATCATGTGTACTTGGAGGGAACCCTGCTCAAGCCCAACATGGTAACTCCTGGCCATGCCTGTCCCATCAAGTATAGCCCAGAGGAGATCGCCATGGCCACCGTCACTGCCCTGCGCCGCACTGTGCCCCCAGCTGTCCCAGGTACTACCCTGCTTTCTAACCTGCCCCCTATTCCTAAGACTTGTCTTCTTCATGTTTCTTCTTGTGCCAGGCACCAGTATCTCACATCTATCATCCTAGCTACTCAGGAGGCTGAGATCTGAGTTTTTGTTTTTGTTTTTTGCCAGTCCTAGAGCTTGAATTCAGGGCCTGGCTCTGTTTCTGAACCTCTCTGTGTTCAAGGCTAGTGCTCTACCACTTGAGCCACCACTTTTGGCTTTTTCTGTTTATGTGGTAGTGAGGAATTGAACCCAGAGCTTCATGCATGCTACGCAAGCACTCTACCACTAAGGCACATTCCCAACCTCAAGGATTCCTTTTTTTTTTTAAAGTACTCATACTGGAGCTTTAACTCAGGGCCTGGGTGCTGCTGTCCCTTGATTTTTTTCACTCAAGGCTAGTTCTCTCACTTGACCCACAGCTCACATCTTGCTTTCTGCTGATTTATTGGAGATAAGAGTCTTACATGGGGGGGGGTGGGAGGAGGATGGGAAGGGGAAACAAAGGAGGAGGCTACAATGTTTGATAAGAAATATATTCATTATCTTGCCCATGTAATTGTAACCCCTCTGTACAGTATTTTCACAATAATAAAAAAAAAGTCTTACAGTCTTTCCTGCCCAGGCTGGCTTCCAAACACGATCCTCAAATCTCAGCCGCCTAAGTAGCTAGGATTACAGGGGTGAGCCACTGGCACCCAGGAGTCTGTGAGATTATCTCCAGTTAACCACCAAAAAACCACCAAAAGTGCAGTTGTGGCTCAAGTGGTAGAATGACAGCCTGGAGGGGAAAAGCTAAGGGATAACACCCAGACCTCTGAGTTCAAGCCCCAGTACTGGCACCAAGAAAAAAAAAAGAATTCTCTATGGCCTTCAAGGAATATTTACCTTGGAAAACAGAGGGTAATCAGTTTATCTTCTTCCCTGCACTCTAGGAGTAACCTTCCTGTCTGGGGGTCAGAGTGAAGAGGAGGCATCGCTCAACCTCAATGCCATCAACCGATGCCCTCTTCCTCGGCCATGGGCCCTCACCTTTTCCTATGGACGTGCCCTGCAGGCCTCTGCACTGAATGCCTGGCGAGGGCAAAGGGACAATGCTGAGGCTGCCACTGAAGAGTTCATCAAGCGGGCTGAGGTTAGGAGCTAGAGGTTGTGGTAGTGGTGGTTGGTATAGCTGGGTGGGAGAGCACTCAGGTTACAGCCTGGGCAAGGTTTGACATGTGTGGGCTGGCTCAGCCCTAAATCTTCTTCTCTTTTCTAGGTGAATGGGCTTGCTGCCCAGGGCAAGTATGAAGGCAGTGGAGAAGATGGTGGAGCAGCAGCACAGTCCCTCTACATTGCCAACCATGCATATTGAGGTGGCTTAGTTCACACCACAGCCCTTGGCCCAGCCATGTACACCCACTTTTGCCTATTAGTCACAGCTAGAGCCAAATAGCCATGCAGATCAGAGATGCCTTCATCCATTCCTTTCCACTCTCTCATTGCTGCACCTGGGACCATAGGATGGGAGAATATGGAGTCCTTCATGTCTGAGGGCAGGAGAACTTGCTAGAAGTCAGAACAGGATGTGTGGGTCTCCCCCCTGCTTCTGTCAACACCCATGATTTCCTCATGATGGTGTCGCTTCTCCTTGGGCTCTCCTTGCTGGCCTGGGGGTCAGAGGGAAGTAACATCAGCCCTGACCTATGCCTTGAGTACATACCATATAGCAAATAAAGGGTAGCAAAACATGCTACTTTGTCTGTTTGTACCCATCAAATTCCCACTTTCCCTCATCTGATCTCTGGTGATTCTATCTTGGGGGCCTCTGCACGTAGAGGTGAGAGGATGAAGTCTGAGGTTTGCTGGGCTTCAAGTTTAAAGAGGGAGTATATAACCCCATCAGGGATGAAGCTGTGAGTCTTCTAGGGTTTGCCACATAGGAGGCACTTGAGAAACTCCTAAAGGCATATTTTGAGCAAGGTTCAGAGTTAACAGTATAATCCTGATATAAGAGTGGGTGCTTCCCTTAAGCATTGCTGAGTCTTGCTGAGGCCTGACATTCCACAAGGAAGAGGTACAGCAGGAGAAGCACTGAGTTCCTGCTCAATAAGGGAAACCTCCTAAATTCTGAGATCTGCCAGAGGCAAGCAGGATATCTAGGAGGTTGTCAAGGCCAATGACCCACACCCATTTGGGATAAGATGGACTATAGAAGGGAGCAATTTGAGGGTCTGGTTAAGAGTAGACATGGCAAGGGAGGTCTTGTTCTCAACTTTGACCATCAGCGTGGGATATGAGGTAGATTGGGAACTTGAGTCTATCTGAATAAGCAGAAGATGAATAAGAGAATAAACCGATGTGTTCTGTGTGCACTGGAGAAGCCACCAATGCTCTACCTGATGTGGCCTGAACTTTTAACAGAAATAGTGACACATGCTTCCTATGTGCTCCTGCCATGCCATATTCTAATCACTGTATTAACTCAATACTCAAATAGGTCTTATTAAGGTAGCTATTATTATCTCTATTTCAATATGAGGACAGAGGCACAGGACAGAGTCGTGAAGCCAGGATTTGAACCCAAGTTATAAGGATTCAGTCTTTGCTCATAAATATTTAAGACTTCTATGTGAAGTATCTTGACTGTGCCAAGTTGGAAGTGAATTAAAATACAACTTTAAATCCTGAAAACTGTGTATGGTAGTATGCACCTGTAGTCCCAGGAGGCTGGAGATGGGGTGTGAGGTGAGCCTAGGATCACCTGAGCCCACAAAACTCAAGACCAACCTGGGCAACATAACTAGATCCGGTCTCAAAAATAAACAGACCTGGGTATGGGTGGCTCACGTCTGTCATCCTAGCTACTCGCGGGGCTGAGATCATGGTTCAAAGCCACCCCAGGCAGGAAAGTCTGTGAGACTCTTATCTCCAATAAACTACCAAAAATTGGGAAGTGGAAATGTGGCTCAGGTGGTAGAGCACCTGACTTGAGCGTGCACACACACACACACACACACACACACACACACACGCACACAAAGCGCCCAGGAACAGTGCCCGGGCCCTGAGTTCAAGCCCCTGACTGGCACAAACAATAAAATAAATAAAATTAGAGTAGCCTATTATTAGTATTATTATTTTGGTAATAAAAGGCACGCTCTTGCTACTTCCGTGTTTGAGGTTCGAGGAGAGAGCGTCTGGAATGAGAAACGATAAAGGTGACGGATGACATTTGAGGGTTTCCTTGCACCAGGCTCTTTAAGATGTCAATTCAGCAAATACCTCCCCTTTTCAGTAAATATTTCTTCCCATCGTTGTCCAAGCGACTATATTGAACAGCTGCAGGGTTGGCGCTCTGGGGTTAAGAGTGTGCTTACCGAGGAAGCCCGGGATTATCTTGGTGTTCTTAACCGTACTGAGTTTTCCCCACAGTCCCAAGATTCTGCAGCCTTCCAAAACCTCAGCGATGCTCCCAGTAGCCTCCGCCCCCTTGCGTCTTTCTCCCGCGTACAACCAAAAGGTCGCTAGCGCGTGGCCCTCCTCGCTGCCGTGGTCCCGCCCTCTCGTAGCGAGGCTTCCTATTGGAGGAGGCTCACGCAGCTCCGCCCCTTGGCAAACCTGAGCAGCCGGAAGCGAGCATGGCGGCCGCCGGGGCCGCGGGGGCCGCGGCTACGGATCTAGGTACCGTGGTCTTCGGGTGGGGTCTGTGAGTCCAGAATTACTAGGGAGCGTTGCAAGGGGGTGGGAATTGAGGTGTGTGAGAGGTCCTGCACGACGCGGGTGGGTGGGTGTTGGACGGGATGCCTGCAGAATGGGGTCAGGGCCCCTCTGGACGCGGGCTGAGGGTCAGTGGGGACAGGTTGCCAGGACTGGCCGGGATTCCCCGGCACGGCGCGGGCCGTCAAACCCGATTCCCTCTCTTCACTTCGTACCTCGGGTCCCCAGAAGTGATCCGGGGCAAACGCGCCGCCCTCTTCTTCGCTGCGGTTGCCATCCCGCTGGGATTGCCGCTGTGGTGGAAGACCACGGAGACGTACCGGGCCCCTCTGCCTTACGCCGAGATCAGTGGGCTGAACGCCCTGCAGGTGAGACCTCGGCGGGGAGGCCCGGGGACCGCCCACTGGGCTAGGCCTAGACCCTGCTAATTACCCTCCCCCCCCCCCCCCCCCCCCCCCCCCCCCCCCTGCAGCTACGGCTCAAGGTGCCAGTTACTGTGGTGTTTACCCGGGATTCAGTGCCTCTGGACGACCAGGAGAAGCTACCTTTCACGGTTGTGCACGAAAGAGAGATCCCTCTAAAATGTGAGTTCCTGTAGGGGTGGGGCTGGAGAGGAGGGGTCAGAGCTGCCTTTCCAGTGTACAGAGGTGATTGCATTGGAGGAGTATCAGCATCCCATAACCTTTCGTTTTTCTTTTCTTTTCTTTAATACTGGGATGTGAACTCCTATATGCTAGGTTACTGGTTGGTTATCTTGGATGATAGAGCTGGAGTCTAGAGAATGTTTGTGGTCAGGCAGGCCTCAAACCTCAATCCTCAGATCCCAGCCTCCTGAATAGCCAGGATTGCAGGCAGGCATGAGCCACTTGCTTGACTAAGAAAATTTAATTAATTAATTAATGGATTTGTCGGTCGTGGGGCTTGAACTCAGGACCTGGGCATTGTCCCTGAGCTTTTCTGCTCAAGGCTATGACTCTACTAATTTGAGCCACAGCTTCACTTCCAGTTTTCTGGTCATTAATTGGAGATAAGAGTTTCACAACTTTCCTGTCCAGGCTAGCTTTAAACCTACATCCTCAGATCTCAGCCCCCTGAGTAGCTAGAGTTGCAATTGTGAGCCACCAGCACCTGTCTAAGGTTTAGTAATAATTATAAAGATTTAAGAATTCAATAATTTAATTAACTAATTTAATACTTATTATAATTTTTTTTTCAGTGCTGGGGTTTGAAGTCAATGTTTGAATTCAGACCTTGCTCCAGCTCTGCTCAGAACTGGTTTTCTACCACTTGGGCCACATTCATAGTCTAGCTTTTTTTTCCTGGTAAATTGGAGATAAAGTCTTAAAGATTCTTCTGCTGGCTTTGAACCTTGATCCTTAGATTTCAGCCTCCTGAGTAACTAGGATTATAAGCATGAGCCACTAGCATTAGTGTAACAATTCTTTTTTTTTTTTTTTTTTGCCAGTTCTGGGGCTTGAACTCAGGGCCTGGACACTGTCCCTGAGCTTTATTCCTCAAGGCTATCACTCTACCACTTGAGCCACAACACCACTTCCAGCTTTTTCTATTTATGTGGTACTGAGGAGTCGAACCCAGGGCTTCATGCCTGCTAGGCAAGCGCTCTACCACTAAGCCATATTTCCAACCCTGTAACAATTCTTTAATTTCACCTAATTCCCGTGTATGTTTAGATTTCCCCAGGTTCTCAAAGGTATAATTTCATAGCTAGTTTCTTCTAATCAGGCTCAATATATTGCATTTCCATAAATTGTTTTGTCCTTTTTTGTGTGTGTGTGCCAGTTCTGGGGTTGAATTCAGGGTCTGGGCACTGTTTTTGAGCTTTTGTGCTGAAGGCTATCACTTTACCTCTTGAGCCACACAGCTCTACTTCCAGCTTGGGTAGAAAAGTTCAGGAGAACCCCTACCCTCAAAAAACCCAGGTAAAATGTACGAATTATCCTGCCCATGCAATTGTAACCCCTCTGTACAGTTTGTTCACAAATAAAATAAAATAAAATTAAAAAAAAAAACCCAGGTAAATATCAGTCTGGAGACATGTCTCAAGTGGTAGAGCACTAGCCAAGCAAGCATAAGACCCTGAGTTCAAACCCTGGTATGAGGGGAAAAAAGATTACTTTCTAAGTGGATATTGTTGTTACTTACTGTAGCTATTCATTGTCACATATTCTTTTTTTTTTTTTTTAGTTTTTTACTGGGATTAAATGGTAACATAAATTTCACAAATTTTGCAGTTTTGTGAGATAGTTAAAGTCACAAACACATTTTAACCTTCACAAGGCAAATTGGCATTATCATGGTCTATAATGTTTGTGAATTCTTACACATTTCTTTTTTTTTGGGTCCAGTTGTGGGTCCTGAACTCTGGGCTTGGGCGCTGTCCCTCAGCTCTTCAGCTCAAGGCTAGCGCTCTTCCACTTGAGCCACAGCACCACTTCCGGCTTTTTTCTTATGTGGTGCTGAGGAATCGAACCCAGGGCCTCAGGCATGCAAGGCAAGTGCTCTACCACTGGGCCAACTTCCCAGCCCTCTTAACACATTTCTTACACATAGGGTGATATGTACATTTCTTTCCTTTTGCTTAGTGTCAGCTGTTCCCTCTTTCCCTCTCATTCCCTCCTTCCCATTGCTGCCCTTGAGTTGCTTAGTTTGTTTTCATCAATGTCCAGTGCAGCTGATGGGTTCTGCTGTTGTATATTTTCCGGTTTCCCTCTGATTCTGTGTCCTCCTCCTAGCTTCCCTTAGATGTCATCACTTATTCTTGTAAGGAATCATCTTACTGAACTGTGAGTACTTTTTTTTGCCAGTCCTGGGGCTTGAACTCAGAGCCTGGGCACTGTCCCTGAGCTTCTTTTGCTCATGGCCAGCACTCTACCATTTGAGCCACAGTGCCATTGCCAGCTTTTTCTGTTTATGTGGTACTGAGGAATCAAACCCAGGGCTTCATGCATGTTAGGCAAATACTCTACTACTAAGCCACATTCCCAGCCCTGTTACTACTTCTTTTTCTTTTTGTTGGTCACGGGGCTTGAACTCTGGGTCTGGGTGCTGTCCCTGCACTCTTCAGCTCAAGGTGAGCACTCTACCACTTGAGCCACAGAGCCACTTCTGGTTTTCTAGTGGTTTATTGGAGATAAGAGTCTCACAGAGTTTCCTGCCCGGGCTGGGTTTGAACCTTGATCCTCAGAGCGCAGCTTTCTGAGTAGCTAGGATTAAGGCGTGAGCTACTGGCACCCTACCCCTGTTACTACTTGTAATAATTTTTTTTTTTTTTGGGTCGGGTCGTGGGCCTGAACTCTGGGCCTGGGCGCTGTCCCTCAGCTCTTCAGCTCAAGGCTAGCGCTCTACCACTTAAGCCACAGCACCACTTCTGGCTTTTTGCTTATGTGGTGCTGGGGGATCGAACCCAGGGCTTTATCCATGCAAGGCAAGTGCTCTACCACTGAGCCACCTTCCCAGCCCTAATTTTTTATTTTTATGGTTCTCTGATTTTTTTTGAAAATAATTATACTACTTCAAAAGTGGCCATTTCCCTCTTTCTTTTAAATATTTATAAGTTTCATTTTTCTTATTACATTGAAGTTTAGAAAGTACAGTGTTGAGCTTGGTACCAGTGGTTCACCTCTGTAAGCCTAGCTACTCAGGAGAATGTGATTTGAGGATCGAGGTTTGAAGCCAGCTGGAGCAGGAAAGTCTATGAGACTCTTATCTCCAATTAACCATTAGAAAACCAGAAGTGGTGCTGTGGGTCAAGTGGTAGAGTGCTAGCCTTGAGCAAAAAGAAGCTCAGAGTCAGCACTTACGCCCCAAGGTTCAAGCCAGGACTGGTGAAAAAAGAGAAAGAACAATGCTGAATAATAATGAGAAATAGAGGAGATTGCAGTAATTTTTTTTTTACTGACTTCAGTGAAATTGTTCTTAGTGTTTTGGGATTAAATGTGTCTTTACTAAGTGTGTATTTTTGTCATTAAATGTGTCTTTTTATTAAAGAATATTTATTGTATTATTTTGAGCTATCAATTGGAATGACCTTTTTTTTTCCTTTCACATACTGATATAATGAATCTTTTTTTTGTCTGTCATGGGGCCTGAACTCTGGGCCTGGGCCTGGGCCTGGGTGCTGTCCCTCAGCTCTTCAGCTAGCTCTTCAGCTAGCGTTGTACTACTTGAGCCATAGTGCCGATTTTTCTGCTTATGTGTTGCTGAGAAATCGAACCCAGGACTTCATGCATACAAGGCAAGCACTTTACCACTGAGCCACCTTCCCAGCCCCAATATAATGAATCTTTAATTAATTAATTAATTTTGCCAGTCCTGGGGCTTGAACTCAGGGCCTAGGTGCTTTCCCTGAGCCTCTCTGTGCTCAAGGCTAGCGTTCTACCACTTGAGCACAGCACCACTTCTGGCCTTTTCTGTTTATATGGTACTGAGGAATCGAACCCAGGGCTTCATGCATGCTAGTCAAGCCCTCTACCACTAAGCCACATTCCCAGCCCATAATGAATATTTTAATAGACTCTCCAGAGGGAAGATAGGCAGAAGTGAGAACCAGGTTGTCTTGTGTTTGTCATCCTTGCAGAAATTATTAGAGTTGACTGTGGCTGCTTGGTGCTAGGTCTTTGTAAACAACCAGTTTTCCATCCTCAGTTTTCTGGCTGGAAATGTGACCGATATCTAATGCTTGATCTTCTCATATACTGTTTCTTTCTCTTCAGACAAAATGAAAATCAAATGCCGTTTCCAGAAGGCCTATCGGAGAGCTTTGGACTATGAGGAGGAAGCCCTATCATCGAGCAGTGTGCATGGTACTAGAAGCAGTGGTCACAGCAATTCAGAAGATGCTTGCTTTTTTCCTTCTGATATTAAGTATAGAATTTCCATGATGTGGGCTGGGAAGGTGGCTCAGTGGTAGAGCGCTTGCCTTGCATGCCTGAGGCCCTCGGTTCCATTCCTCAGCACCACATAAGCAAAAAGAAAAAAAGCCGGAGATGGCGCTGTGGCTCAAGTGGTAGAGCCCTAGCTGAGGAGCTGAAGGACAGCATGCAGAGCTAGCTGAAGAGCTAGCTGAGGAGCTGAAGGACAGCATGCAGGCCCAGAGTTCAAGCCCCATGACCGACAAAAAAAAAAAAAAAAGAATTTCCATGATATGTCTGTCTTAGCTTGCAAAGCCTTTCTGAGGTGCCTTAAAGTTTTACCTTGGGCTCCTAAGGGCTTGAGAACAGACCTCTGACTTACCTGGCATTTGAGTGTGAATGGAGGAGTGGCCCAAGTGCTCTGAGGGGCGTAGGGGAGATGGAATGGTATATCACCTTCTCTTGTCTGCAGAGGCAAAAGCCATGTTAGCCGAGCCTCAGGACCAAGCAGAGGGCTCCCTGACTGTGTATGTGATCTCTGAAAACTCTTCACTCCTTCCCCAGGTAAGTAAGCAGTGCAGCTCAGGACCTCCTTTTTATAGCAGTGTTGTCTCTGTCTCCTATCTGCTACAGAAAACTCCACATCTCTCTTTGTGTTTGTGTGTGCCAGTCCTGCAGCTTGAACTTAAGGCCTAGGCATTGTCCCTGAGCTTTTTAAAATTTTTTATTTTTTCTTAAGTTTTTTTTATTGTGATTAAGTGATTACATAAATTTCGCAAATTTCACAGTATTGTGAGATAGTGATACTTAGTTAAAGTCACAAGCACATTCTAACCTTCATGGAGCAAATTGTCTTTATCGTGGTCTATAAGGTTTGTGAATTCTATGAGCTTTGACGATACAGTTATTTCTTTTCTTTTTTTTTTTGGTCTGGTCATGGGGCCTGAACTCTGGGCCTGGACGCTATCCCTCAGCATTTCAGCTCAAGGCTAGCGCTCTACCACTTGAGCCACAGCGCCACTTCCGGCTTTTTTTTTCTTTTTGCTTATGTGGTGCTGAGGAATCGAACCCAGGGCCTCAGGCATGCAAGGCAAGCGCTCTACCACTGAGCCACCTTCCCAGCCCCGGTATAGTTATTTCTAACACATTGGGTGATATGTACATTTCTTTCCTTTTGCTTAGTGTCAGCTGTTCCCTCTATCCCTCTCATTCCCTCCCTCCCATCGCTTCCATTGAGTTGCTTAGTTCGTTTTGATCTATGTTCAGTGCAGCTGATGGGCCCCTCTGTTGTATTTTTTCCCGTTTCCCTCTGTTTCTATGTCTTCCTCTTAGTTTCCCTCTGATGTGCACATACATACCATATATACGGTTAGCAGCATGGGGTCATTTAGTAATGCCAGCTGGGTGGAAGTCCTATGTTTCTCCAGTTTTGTTTACTTTGTTGCATCTCCTTATGTTTTGGATTTAACATCCACATATCAGGGAGACCATGTGCCGTTTGTCTCTTTACTCTTGGCTTACCTCACTCAACATGATTTTTTCTAGTTCCATTCATTTCCCTGCAAATGCCATTATTTTGTCCTTTCTAATGGCTGAATAATATTCCATTGTACATAGGTATCACAGTCTTTGGATCCATCCATCTGTAGTGGGGCATCTGGGTTGTTTCCATATCTTGGCTATTGTGAACAGTGCTGCAATGAACATGGAGGTGCACGTGTCCTTGTATATTGGTTCCTGTTGTTCAGGATAGATGCCTATGAGTGGTATGGCTGGGTCATAGAAGAGATCTATAATTTAGCTTTCTGAGGACCCTCCAGACTGCTTTCCAAAGTGGTTGTATAAGTGTACATTCCCACCAGCAGTGTAATAGGGTTCCTCTTTCTCCACATCCCCTCCAGCATTTGTCGTTGGCTGATTTGTGGATGTGGGACATTCTGACTGGGGTAAGGTGATATCTCAGGGTTGTTTTTGTTTGCATTTCCTTCACCACCAGGGATGATGAACATTTCCTCATGTGTTTCTTTGCCATTTGTATCTCTTCTTTTGAGAAGTCTCTCTTTAGTTCCCTTGCCCATTTAGTAATCGGTTTGTTAGGTTTGGGAGGGATTAGTTTCTTGAGGTCCCTGTATATACTGGATATTATTCCCTTGTCTGATATATTGCTGGTAAATATTTTTTTCCAATTAGTTGGCTGTTTTTCTAGTTTGGATGCTATGTCTTTAGCTGTGCAGAAACTTTTTATTTTAAGGAAGTCCCACTTGTCGAGTCTCTCCAATTTGTTGTGACCCTGTGTCCCTGAGCTTTTTTGCTCAAGGCTAGCACTCTACCATTTGAGCCACAGCTCTATTTCCTTCCTGCCCAGGCAAGTTTCAAACCATGATCCTCAGATCTCAGCCTCCTGAGTTACTAGATTACAGGTGTGAGCATAGGTTCCCGGCTCCACATATATTAAAAAAGAATGTCAGTAAAAGTTTATTTATTGACATTGGTTTGGGTCTTACTAAATCCAAGACTTAGCTGGGTGCTGGTGGCTCATGCCTGTAATCCTCAGGAGGCTGAGATCTGAAGATCATGGTTCAAAGCCAACCTTGGAAGGAAAGGCCGTGAGACTCTTTATCTGCAATTAACCACCAGAACACTTGGAAGTGGTGCTGTGGCTCAAGTGGTAGAGCACTCACCTCAAGCTGAAGAGCTGAGGGACAGCGCCCAGGCCCAGATTTCAAGCCCTATGATTGATTAAAAAAAAAAAAAAATCCAAGATTTATGTGTGGTGAAAGTACCAGTGACCATGTAAATTAGTGGGAAAAAAAAATCAGTAATATTTATAAGAATAACTGAGCTGGGCCGGGCGCTGGTGGCTCACGCCTGTAATCCTAGCTACTCAGGAGGCTGAGATCTGAGGATCACGGTTCAAAGCCAGCCCGGGCAGGAGAGACCATGGGACTCCTATCTCCAATAAACCACCAGAAAACCGGAAGTGGCGCTGTAGCTCAAGTGGTAGAGTGCTCGCCTTGAGCTGAAGAGCTGAGGGACAGTACCCAGCCTAGAGTTCAAGCCCCACGACCGACAAAAAAAAAAGAGTCTCAGGACTTTCCTACCCTTGCTGGCTTTGATCTTCATTGCCTTTTTTATTTTTTTGGTTGGTTGTGGGACTTGAACTCGGCCTGGGTGCTGTTCTTGAGCTCTTCAGCTCAAGGTTAGCGCTCTACCACTTGAGCCGCAGTGCCACTTCCCGTTTTCTAGTGGTTTATTGAAGATAAGAGTCTCACAGACTTTCCTGCCCAGGCTGGCTTTGAACCATGATCCTCAGATCTCAGCCTTCTTAGTAGCTAGGATTACAGGGATGACCACTGCGGCCTGGCTAAGATACCATCTTAACCAATAAGCCTGATGTAGTAGTAATCCCAGCTAACCTAGAAGTCCAAGGCTAGCCCTGGGCAAAAATTGTGAGACCCTGCCTGAAAACTAACTAGGGGGTAACTCAAGTAATAGTGTGCTTGCTACTGCTGAGGGAAAAAAAATGAAAGAGAATTTTAGTGAATATCTATGTACCCAACCCCATTTTGCAAACTCTAATGTAATAATATATCTGGAACCTGTGATCAACATGATTATACCCTACTCTGTTTAGTACCAGGTGACTGTGTTTTGTCCTTTTCTTTTTCTTTCTTTCTTTTTTTTTTTACTCTGGGCTTGGGCACTGTCCCTGCCCTCTCTAGCTCAAGGCAAGTGCTCTCACTTGAGCCACAGCGCCACTTCTCGTTTTCTGGTGGTCTACTGGAGATAAGAGTCTCATGGATTGGGGCTGGGAAGGTGGTTCAGTGGTAGAGCGCTTGCCTTGCATGCATGAGGCCCTAGGTTCCATTCCTCAGCACCACATAAGCAAAAAGAAAAAAGCCGGAAGTGGCACTGTGGCTCAAGTGGTAGAGCGCTAGCCTTGAGCTGAAGAGCTGAGGGACAGCGCCCAGGCCCAGAGTTCAGGCCCCATGACTGGACCGCCCCCCCCCCAAAAAAAAAAAAAAAAGAAAAAAAGAGTCTCATGGAGTTTCCTGCCAGGGCTGGCTTTGAACCATGATCCTCATATCTCAGTCTCCTGAGTATCTAGGATCTAGGATTATAGGCGTGAGCCACTGACACCCGGCTTTGTCCTTTTCTTTAGAGTTCAATCACATGTCTTTGAATAATGTATTTAGTTTAGTTTTTTTTTTTTTTTTTGGTCGGTCATGGAGCCTGAACTCTGGGCCTGGGCACTGTCCCTCAACTCTTCAGCTCAAGGCTAGGGCTCTACCACTGAGCCACAGTTCCACTTTTGTTTTTTTCTGCTTATGTGGTGCTAAGGAATCGAACCCAGGACCTCATACATGCAAGGCAAGCACTCTATCACTTCCAGCTCCTTTATTTAGTTTTGAACTTATATAACTACATAATATATATGTATTGCAGAACATCTGTATTTTTCAGCAACTTTAATTTTGCTCAAGATTTATCTTTGAGAGAATCATCTGTGCTGATATGTATAGTTGGATCTCTGTTTCATTGTATGAACATAATTTATCTGTTCTATTTCTGATGGGAATTTAGATTACTTAGCTTTTCACTATTTGATTTAATGCTGCTGTGAACGTTCTTGTCCTTGCCTCTTCGCCATGAGTTGGTTTCATAAATCAGACCTTCCATTTATGTAAATAATTCTGCTTTTCTTGCTCAGCATGTCTTCTGTTGGTTTCCAATTTACCATTTTACCCCCCTAAAATTTAAATGCTGATTAGACCTGGTCTTTCCCAGTGTCTACTGGGAAAGAAAAGACAATGGAAATATAGGAGAGCACTCATATAAGGTTCCAGCTCAGAAATGCTGAGTTAATAGCTCACCATGGATCTAGAGAGTGGGGTAAGCCTTTGGTTAATATCAAAAGGCAAAATTTCCAAATATAGATGTCAGATTGAGGCATAGTATCAGCACTTGGGAGATTGAGAAAAGATGATGGCAAATTTAAGGCCTTCATGGGCTATATAGTGTGACCCTATCGCAACAAAAGTAATCAAAACAGAGAGAACCTAGAGTGCTTTTCTGCTTTTTTTTCACTGTGTCATGGGCATTCTGTCCCTTGCTCACTCCTCACAGGACATGATGAGCTACATTGGGCCTGAGAGGACAGCAGTTGTACGGGGGATAATGCACCACGAGGCTTTTAACATCATTGGCCGTCGTGTGATCCAAGTAGCCCAGGCCATGTCTTTGACTGAGGATGTGCTTGCTGCTGCTCTAGCTGACCATCTTCCAGAGAACAAGTGGAGCTCTGATAACAGGCGGCCTCTCAAGTCCAGCTTGGGTAGGACACTGGGCTTGGCCGTAAAAAGGAAAAGGAAATGAGTTATGTGGAGCAAGAAGGAATCTGCAAACAAAGTCCTTACTACTTTCTTCTCTGATCTCAGCTTTTTCTTTTCCCTTCCCTCCTTCCCTCCTTCCCTCCCTCCCTCCCTCCCTCCTTCCTTCCTTCCTTCCTTCCTTCCTTCCTTCCTTCCTTCCTTCCTTCCTTCCTTCCTTCCTCCTTCCTTCGTTGCTTCCTTCCTTCCTTCCTTCCTTTCTTCCTTCCTTCCTATCTTCTTAAGTCCAACACTCTGCCACTTGAGCTATAAATCCACTTCCAGGTTTTTGGTGGTTAATTGCAGATCTCAGTTTCCTGAGTATGGAGGTATAGGCATAAGCCATGGGTGCCTGGCTCAACCTTTTTCTTTTTTGTGCTAGTCCTAAGGCTTGAACTTAAGGTCTGGGCACTGTCTCTGAGTGTTTTTTTTTGCCAGTCATGGGGCTTGAACTCTGGACCTGGGGGCTGTCCCTGAGCTCTTCAGCTCAAGGCTAATGCTCTACCACTTGAGCCACAGTGCCACTTCCAGTTTTCTGGTGGTTAATTGGAGATAAGAGTTTCACGAACTTTCCTGCCTGGACTGGCTTTGAACCTTGATCCTCAGATCTCAGTCTCCTGAGTAGCTAGGATTATAGGCATGAGCCACCGGTGCCTGCTCCTTCCAGCTTTTTGTTGTCAAAATGGAGATGAGAGTTTCAGAGACTCTTGCCCTGGCTGGCTTGAACTGTGACTCTTAGATCTCAACTTCCTAAGTAGGATTACAGGTGTGAGCCACCAGTGCCTGGCTTCAACTTTTTCTTAAAAACACTTAGCTTTTTTCATCCCATGTTTATCTTCCCTTTGGTTCTATGATAGTAACCCAATCCTATTCCAGAGGAGAAACAAGTTCATTTTAGGAGGGGGGTAGAGGCTGTCCCTCTTCCTTGATCCATAAAGCTGACTTCACTGACTTCTGTTTCTCTAGGGTATGAGATCACCTTCAGTTTACTCAATCCAGACCCCAAATCCCATGATGTCCACTGGGACATAGAGGGGGCTGTCCAGCGCTATGTGCAGCCCTTCCTGAATGCCCTCAGTGTTGTTGGCAACTTCTCTGTGGACTCCCAGGTGAGATTTTTAGGAAACTTCTCGAAGTTTCTACATACTTAATGTTAACATAGACCTCTCTTCTACCATCCCTTAGAGCTTGATGATTTGGTAGTACAGGTGTATGCATAAAGGCAGGTACTGACAGAGGCTGACATGGAAAGATGTGTGTGCATATTTTGTGTCTGTCCATCTGTCACTGTGGGCTGGTTCTGGTGTCTTTACTTTCCCTTGATGTCCAGCTCAAGGAGTTCTGTCAATGCCTGTTAACATGGCAACTTTGTTATGGCTCCCTTTAGAACGTACTCAGAAGTTGTGCCTAGAAGTTAATGCCATCAGTCGTCCTAAAGGAATTTATTTAAAAACAAAAGATGGACCAAAAGAACGAACCTCCTGTATCATTACTACATGTGAGTCTGGTAATGATAAAGATGTAAGAATGTAGCTTTCTACCTCTACTTTGGCCAAGGTATATCACTGTGACCAGGTAGGGAAAACACAGGAGAAATTTAGCAAGTCTTGGTAGGGGGAGTGGTTACTTCTGAATAACTGGCTTGATGTGGTTTTGTAGCCAATGACTTACGTGACTGTTTGCCTCTTTGTTAGGAAACCTGGTAAAAAATGGATGTTTTTCAAGCATGTAAAGCATTTAATTATTTTATTTCATATTCCTGTTTCTCTTAGCTCTGATTTATTTGTTTATTTATTTATGTGCTTATGTATTTATTTATTGGTGTCAGTCCTGGAGCCTGAATTCAGAGTCTGGGCACTGTCCTTGAGTTGTTTGTTTTTTCCTCAAGGCTAGTGTTCTATCACAGAGCCACAGCTCTGCTTCTGGCTTTTTTTGGTGGTTAATTAAAGATAAGATTCTTACAGAACCGCATGCTGGTGGTTCACACCTGTCCTTGGTTGTGTCCTTTTTTTTTGGTATCTTCTCCTTTTTATTAGCATACATTAGTAGTACAAAGGAGGATTCATAGTGAGACATTTCTACACATGTAAACCATGTATCCCCATCAACCTCACCCCCCTCTGAGATCACTCTCCTCTATCTCACTTTCCTTCTTAAACAATTTTAATAAATCTTATTGTTCTCTTTTCATAATGCAAATAAACTACACAGGCAATATTCTTCCTTATTCAACATCTTCATTAGCGCTCCCTACCCCCAGTACCATCAGAGTCTGTTTTACTTGCTGATATTCGTGTGTGTGTGTGTGTGTGTGTGTTCGTTCGTGTGTTCGTGTGTTCCTGGGGCTTGAACTCAGGACCTGGGCACTGTACCTGACCTTTTGTGCTCAAGGCTAGTTGATATTCTTTTGTGTGTGTGTGTGTGTGTGTGTGTTCCTGGGGTTTGAACTCAGGACCTGGACACTGTACCTGACCTTTTGTGCTCAAGGCTAGTGTCCTACCACTTGAATCACTTGAGCTATTGCTCAATTTCCAGCTTTTTTTGGAGATAAGAGTCTCATGGAATTTCCTGCCTAGGCTGACTTTGAACCTCCATTCTCAGATCTCAGCCTCCTGAGTATCTAAGGATTATGACATGAGCCATAATCTGGTACCTGGTACCAGACTGTTACCAGATTGGTATCTGACTTTTTTTTTTAAGTGTTTGTTAATTAAGGAGATTCATTAAGGTGTTTTTAGATATTCTGTATTATGTTTTACTCAGAATAATCTCTGCTTTCCTGCCCTTCCAGTACCTTATTGCTTATATATAATATAATATTTATATACATATATATATATGTATATATATATGTGTATATATATATATATATTTTTTTTTTTTTTTT